TATTTATACTACAGTTGCAAAACATAAAAACTATTAAATATGCTACTCAATGCACTTGCATCTGTTACTTATTAAAAGCTGGACTGTTTATTTTAGCTTGATGTGATAGAAATATATTGATATTCATTACAAAATGTATAAAGTCTGACATTATCAATAGCATGAAGCATAAAGCACCTATTTTTATTTAAAAGCCATTGCTCTTTCCATCTCTATAATCATTTGGATCCTGTTTGTCCAATTTTGATAATTTGTGTAAATTAGACCATTGCTTTTAAAATGCTGGTTTAAAAAGCATTACATTTCGTGAAATCTTTTTAAATCGGGAATAAGAGATCCTATGCCTGAATCTGCTGTTTTTAAGGGAATATTTTGTTCTATTCTATTCGTTTATTCTTATTCATCAAAAAAGAAAGAAACTGATTAGACAGTTCATATTTGTATCTGATTACATTTTTTCATTTTCAGGTTAATCCAGATGCTCTATTTACACAAGATTTATTTTTTGTTTTTTTATACATTTACTGAAGTAACTTTTGGAAAATGACTCTTTATTTCTGCCTAGTCATAAAATATCAAAGTAACACAACTTTTACTTGAGTACTTTTGGCTTCTCAACAACAGGCTCTCTGTTAAGGCTTTCCTAGTTTAGGCATTTAGAAAACACAGACTAAGATTAAGGTTTAATTGCTTTTTTGCAGCATGAAGCTGGTTGCTTATGAAGGTGGGTTTATATAGAATATAAAAGGTTTATTTAGGTGTTAGATCCTTTTTTGAATTCTAACTTCTCAAATTTGGCTTAAATCAGTTTGTTTTTCTACATGTGTGAATTAAGTTACAGTAACATACAGTAAGCTTTAAAAAGATCCACAGATACCTACTCATCTAAAAGCCTGATTATTAGAATAAGAAGTTAATGCACCTTTGCGTCCAAGCTGAGAAAAAGAAGCGAATAATTAACAACTAAAAAGAATAAAGGTGACGTTACAACCTCTGAACTAACAGCAGAAAATAAAAATATGTCATTTTCTTCTGCAATTCGCGCACTTCTCTAAAAATTAGCACGATCTTTATCTTTAACTTTATTTTCTGTCTCATGATCAGTATACAATGATTGAGGAAAATAATAATACAAGTAAGTCAAAGAATTAGACTTGATGTTTTTTTGGGGGGAAAATCCAATTAAATATTGCATTGATTATCAGTACCAACAGGTGAGTTGATGCTGCTCAGCCTGCAGGCAACGCAGATTATAAAAACAAACATTCAGACATAATCTGCTCACAATGCGCCTTAAAGCTTGATCAAGTCGTTCTAATTTTACTCACCGTCTCCAATGGTTTATTGGCCCCTGATTGTCTAAATCTTCTCTTCACATGACTGTCACCTCCAGGACAGAAACAAATCTGAAGTGTGTGGAGCTCCTCCCTCAGTAAGGAGTCTCTATCACTTTCTCCCAACTTCCTGTTTCTCTTTAAACTCAAACATGTGCGCAGATCAATGGAGCAGAATAAAGGTGACCTGAAGCGCCTCTATCAGGCAATATAGGCTGTTATGTCATGGTTTGGTCTATAAATTAAAGTAATCCAGGAGGGAAACTTAACTTTATTTTTCAAATAAACGACCTTAATAATTATGTATACGTGTTATATATCTATATCACCTACTAAGACGTTCACGCTTTAATCGTTTTTTTTTTTTTTTTTTTTTGTAGCCTCACGTGAACCTGGAGGAGAAACAGAAAGTGGTGCAGTTACCGAAATTGGCCGGGAGATGGCGGTCGTTTAATAATTAAAATGACGCAGGGGACGGCATATTTGACATGGCCAGTTTCTGTTAGTTTAACACACGCAAAAGCAAACTTACGCCCTTTCTTTCCCGGTGTGTGTGTTTTCCGTCTGTATCATTCTTTTATTTTGGCATAACCACAGTCTACTAAGGAATGTCGAGTTATTTCTACTTTCATACTTGATCTCATTGTATTACTTTGGTTGCATTTGCAGTTGTCATTTGGAAACTTCAGTTGACAAGAATCTGAACTAAGCCTTTTTAAAACCAATGGTATGATCAAGATTTAAAAAGTTAAAAGGTTTAAAATGTTGAAGTTGCAAATCAACTCTAATCAAAATAAGCCCCTAAATAATAAGGTTTAGTATTTTTTTTATATAATTTTATTCACTTGTCTTAAAAGATTTCCAAAGCATTTACTGTGAGTTAGAGGATTTCCTTAAATGTCTACACCTTATAAATGTACTCCACAATCTTTGTGTGAAAGTGAGGCAAAGCAATCTCAAACCACAATATTGTGGTTTGAAATCGGTAGGGTCTTTCAGAAAAACTTTCTCATAACAACCATAAGTGAAGATTAAAAAACAGGAGTATTACTGGTTAAAGGCTAGAATAGACTGATAAGATGCTGTCAAAGTATTAAAACCTTACAACTGGAATAAAATGTGAGGTAGCCACATGGTTAGGCAAAATAGTTTTTTTTTAGGTTTTTTGGTGAGGCTTTCATGTCCCATAAAAATTGTACTGTTGGGCATGGTGGTGGTAGCATTATGCTAGGGTTCTGTCCCATTTTGAGAGGTACTAGAGTAGAACAAGTTTTGGAATGGACAATTTAATTTCAGGCCTCTGGAATAGAGCTTACATCAACTATACTGAAAGTTAGGCTTTAAAACTGAGTCAATCATAGCAAAACAATTTAAGCAAACTCTATTCATTTTTACGAGTTCTTAACAGTATAAGGAAAAAAATGTAACAGGTCGTAGTTTCAGGCTACAAAACTGTAGTTTCTCTGCAGCGTTCTAAGGGACACTTTACAATGGATTATATTGACCTATTAAAATATTGACAAAGTTAGAGAAAATCCACAATAAAGTAAAACCAACAATTCCTGATTTTTAAACACTGAAAAAAATACCCTAAATTTGAGTAGGTAAATGAGTTTGCCAATGGAATGAGTATTTTTACTCTCAAAATAAGATAATTACATAACATGCACTTGAAATAAGACAATGTGTTTTATTTTAAATGTAAATAATTTTTTCCATGGACAAAATGTCTCTTTTACCTCCTCAATCCAAGAACAAATTTCTTATTTTAAGAAAAAAATGACTCATCTCGATTTTGATTTTTTTTTTTTACAGTGAAATAAGCCGAGTCATCTGTATATATCAACCTTTAAAAGGATAAAAAGAAACAAGCAACTTTCATATTCAGAATGAATCCTTGTAATGTCAAAGCCATTACATGGTGCTGTATGATTTTTATCAAACACGTGGCTGTAACCAATGGGGTCAGAAATGATGACTGTGTCTTAGTAGAGGCTCTTTTTAGGTATAAAATCTGATCTTTTTCATATTTCCCTCCTCAAAATACACAGTTTCATTTTTTTTTTAAATCTTAAATCAAAGAACAATTTACAAAATGATGTACATCAGCACTCAAAGGCAAAGATCAGTTTTACTTAACACACAATATGCTCATTTGTCAAAAAAAAATACAAAATATCTCAAAAAGGAAAGATTGCAATACACAGCCCAAGTACAAAGGTTTGGCACAAAGATATGTTTGACAAAAAAAAAAATCTTTATCAAAACTAGTAGATAAACCAAAGCTTTAGTAACAGCAGTTAAGACATTCTTCTGTTTTCTCAAATTATTGAAAATAAATCAAAGATCTCAATTTAGCAAACCTTTATCTTTTCCTCTTTTGGGGAAAGAAAATAAAATAAAATTAAGGTTTTGTAAAAAATGTTTTCTTTGATTGGATATTCTTTCATAATGCTGATCTCATCTAAAAAGTAGACAAAGATTCTTTGAGAACTGTTGATAGAAACCATCAGAGCAAAAGAAAATAACTGAATGCTTAAACAGGGAATTCAATCTGGGGTTGCCCTGAGTGGAGCGATTATCAGATTATTATCAGATTATCAGCCATGCAAACTGCTCCTTACTGTCATTTAACACATATACAGATTCTTTGAAAGGACACACAGTGTGAAGTTTACATTTCTGAACTAAACAAACTCTGTAAAACAACTTTTAGTGTTTAGAAATACAGTTTCTGGATTTACACCATATAAAAACTTTTTTCTAAAGCTCACAGACCTGTTAAATGAACTTTGGGGAGTGAAAGCCTGCTTCAAAAATTAAATGTGCCGCTTTCTGTTAAAACATGTTTCTCTTGACTTGTATGCTCATTTGTGTATGCTCTTATTTTTGTACTCCCTTGTGAATTCTCTTGAACAGGACAGATTTACAGCTACCGGCTGATCTGTTTATACAGCAGGGTAAAGGTCACTTGGTGTTCAAGGGAATTCTCAAAGATAACACATTCATCTCCAAAACTATACATCCTTTTTTGCTCATCTTCAGAAATAGTGTTTACAGATATGAAACTTTCAGCATTCAAGAGGAGCCATGCTATCAAAAAGATCTGAAAAAAAACAAGCAGGCATGTTCATCTTTTTTTTTTCCTTAACAAAACACCCTGAGATCAACTTGAATTAGTACAAATTTGATAAAAAAATAAATAAATAATTATGAAAACTCCAGTGTAGATCTAAAATGTACCACAACGAACACCAACTGAGAACATACTTATAGAAAAATCCTATGTTTAATTGGATAACGTTTTTGCAACTAGGATTACTTCAGGAGGTTGGTACCTTTTAACATTATATATAAAAAAAAGAAAGAAAAAAAAGAAAAAAAAAAGAAGTTTAAAATTTCAATTTATTAGCTCTAGAAAAGAAATATTAATATTATGTAATGCTTCTTAAAATATGCAGGGTTGCACAAAGTACCCTTTTTGCAACATTATGATTGTCCATTTCTTAGTCCAGTAGCAGCAGCGAAAGTAAAATGTGACACATTGGTGACATTTGGCACCATTATCATGCCAGCACTGTTAAAAAAAACAAAGTGCTTTGTGCTTCCAGAAGTCTGAACTAAATTAGTTTCACTAGTTTGACAGCTTGACACTGTTTTTTTTTTTAGGGGGTTAGTTGTGATCTGATGAGCTTAACATGATTTTTCTTAGTGTTGAGGTAGTGTTTGCACAAACAGAGCAGGATAAGCTGGCACTGGGTTTACGTTCCCCTAATTATACAATCTCCAACATTTTACTAGAAGGAATGTAATTTCTAAGCAATTTTTTTCTTTTTTGGTTTCTTTGCTGGTCCAGAAGGCTTTATGTATGCACACAGATATTTTAGTTGTAGAGTAAAACCCATCATTGTGCATCTTTTTACCCTTAGACAGCAGAGGCTTCTCTGGTGTGATCTGTAAGGTTGAGCAGAGCTAGTCTCTGATTGTTCGTCCTTTCAACGTTCTGATCCTCCTCTACAGGTAAAGCATCAGAGTCTTGATCCTGTTCAGAGCCGCCGGGTTCTGGGTCGGGATAAATTACAAGGAAACACGCAGTGAGGAAGCCAAGGAAGGAGCCCCCAGAGGCCACAACTGGAATGACACGAACACTGTCGAAAGCCTCAACCACAGATCCAAGAGCTGATGCCACCAAAATCTGGCTGATATAAACCTGGAAATAAAACAAAAACATGAGCACAGCTTAAAATTGTAAGTACATGGCTGCTGTTCACATCCAATGCTTAACTTTAGAGCTAAAGCTTGTTCATCTTTTAATTCAAAACAAAGGGATAGACAGTAAAAGGTAAAGCTTGCCTGGCAGGTTAATATAGCACAGTCTATACCAAAGCCTCTTCGAGTGTTGGCTGGACTATGGTTGATATACTGTGAAAGAAGAAAAAGTCAACATTAAACCTTTTTTGTATTAAATTTAGTTTTTTGTATAAAGATCAGTTTGAACCATTTTTAATGTAAAAACTAAATGAAGCTGTGTGGAATCCTACCTCTTTGATTTCATGGTACTGTCCGAGTAAAGCATAGGGACAGTAAGAGATACTCATGGAAATGATTCCCATGCTACTGATCATCACCATGGCAACATAAACATTAGGGAAGATTGCCATAATTGCAGTTCCTAAAAAAAAAAAAAGTTTAAGTTTGTTACAAACCTGTCAATCCTCGACAAAAGTCTGTAATAGCAAAGAAAATATTTGTGGACCTTAATATGTGCATTTTATTTATTTATTTTTTTACATAGTGTTATATCTTTCCACAGCATTTTAAGTGTCCCCAGATGAGAATGTCAATGGGATATTTTTCCAACTTAGGATTACGTTTAATATCTATGTGTTCCATTACCCTAATGAAATTATTAGATCTGGAAATGATGTAAACGAAACCAAAAAGGTCCAGTTACAAGCAGCTTACAAGTGATTGTGCTAAATGAGCAGGCCGCCATTAGCAATATATGCTCAAGTTTATCCACCAAAGACACGAAAGCTAACCTCACAATATGCTTAACTAAAGAAAAAAAAATGTGTAAAAAAAAACAGATTGCTCTTTATTTCAAAAACAGAGTATGGTGTGTGTGTTTGTGTGTGTGTGTGTGGGGGGGGGGGGGGGGGGGGGGGGGCAAACATCACATTAAACTATAATACATCACATTTGACTTACCGATTGAAAACCCAAGAGTGCCCACAACATAGATGACCCTAATACTCAGATCAAAATTATCCAGAGACTTTTGAAGAATTCCTGGAACAGAGGAGGTAAGCTTTTGGTTACTCAAGACATTCTAAATGTAAAACATGGAGCTCAACTGCATTGTATGCAACTTCCTTTTGTGTATTGCAGTTGTTAGCACAGTCTTACATACTCTGGACTTAAGAAAGTTGGTTTACCAGAGCAGACAGCAGCAGTAGCAGCATACACCACCAGCCCCCAGCAACCCATCTGTACTCCCCTGTGATAATTTAGTAGCTCTGTGGAATTGGCTGGTGCCTGATGAAATAATACAGGCACTTCAATGCAAGAAAAACATAATAAATACTTGAAATGCTATTTTAATTTATTACAGCCCACACAGAACATGCAATGTTGTGGTTTTCTCTGTAAGCGAACACATGGAGGAGTGCATTTACCTGAGGGTCTCCACTGTAAATGACCTGACCCATGAAATCAGTGTAAAATACAGATTCAGCTATAATGGAGAACCATGTAAAGAGGTGGCATACACATAGTCTCCAGAGCTGCTTTGGCATCTAAGGGAGATGGAAAATTAAGTGAGACAATTAGCCTTTTAGCTGAAAAGAGAGAGCCTACAATTTTAAAGTTGAAAATTAAAATCTTTAAAGAATTAAAACAAAACTCCATTGTGAATTTATCATGAATATTACCTATGAGCTTTAAGAGTGGAAAGAGTGGAACAAGAAATAAACTTTTAGACTGGGTTTAAAGCCCATATTTACAAAAAACATTTATACACCCCTTGCTTTTCCAAACCTGGAATATATTAAATAAATTACATAATTTTCCAAAGCAATTTGAAACACTGCATCCTAAATAAAATTCTGCTCTTTGAAAGTATTAAAGAGGATTTTTCTCAGACATTAAGTGTCCAGATTCATCTAAAATTCAATAATTGATGGATGGCATTCTTGCACTTATGGACCCCACCAAAAAAAACTGTTTCATCCATAAACTCTGGCCGTGGTGGTGCCAACAAAATATCAGCCAATACACTTTGCATACCTTCGAAAGCGGATTGGCTACTTGTTTGTCTATCAAACATTTTACGTACGTGCTGCAAATATGTTATTTACGTAGGCTCCAAACGTAACTCATATTTGCCTGGCAGTTTGCCATTATGCCGAAGCATAAAGAAGTACTCCTACGCTGGTTTGCTGCTGCGTTTTTTTTTCTTAAGCTATTTTTCACTATTTTGTGTAAACTTGAACATCAATGGCCGAAAAGAATCCTGAAAACCTAAACGTAAAAGAAAGCTTTTTTTTTTCTCGAAGTTATGGTAATTAGCAAGACGGTTTTTATTACGAATATGCTGGATTGCGTTTTATCCGTAGACCCTTATGGACAAATGGAATATAAACAGTCTAAGATTGGATTTATAATACAGCCTCAGGAATGCTTCAATGGTTGGAAGTCGGAGCTTTATTTGAGATATTCTGATTTAACATGCTGCTATATCTTTATAAATTGTGCTATGGTCCTCATAGTGTCCATAAAATGAACTTGCCGGTTGAAATGTGGAGAACCTAAGCTTTCTAAGGATGTATAACATGTCAGTACTGGTAAAAGTTTAACTGGTGTTATTTTCAAGTGTACTGCTGTAAATAAACAAAACAGACCACCAGAGTTATGGCAGGCAAGAAATTTCTCAGCATTTATCTGTCCATCAAAACTCTCAATTTTTGGGCATCCATGAAAAAGAAAAACGAAAACATTAAGATTATGTTCCTATAATATGTTGCTACAAAAGTTCCCTTTTGTTCATATTTCAATCTGTTTTCTCAGCAGTATGCAAGAGGGGAGGTAATTCTCAGGCAGGTATTTCTTGGCATAACACCAGCAGAGGTGTTTCCAGCGTATAGAACTTTTGTGAGCACTGACGCATGCGCACAATTCAAAAATACACAAACAGCCATCGGACATATCTTCCACCACAGAATCCTCTTTCATGCCTTTAACCTACACTAGCATATTTCCCTCTAATATTGTATAAGGAGGCCAGGTCTAGAGTACAAAGGTACAAAATTTATTTCACCTTGAACATGGAGAGCCAAAGCAGCCGTACAGTTGTGCCCCTCTCAGTTTCCTCGTCACTGCTTGAGCCCTCAGAAGAAAGACTGCTAACAGATGGCAGCCTCTTTTTTTTGAACATGTGCTGCCGGATATTCCGCAGATCTGTCAAGCTGCGGGAGGTGGTGATTGGCCGAGGGCTTGCAGGTCTTGTGCGTCGCAGTTTACAGCGTTGTGTTCCCACTCGACCGTAGTATGAAAAGGTAAAGGAGGGCTGAAGATGAAGAAAGACCAACATACATCTTTAATAATCCCAAAGGGAAATCAGATGTTGTAATGGGGCTCATTATTTAAGAACTCAATTCCCTGAAAAATGATGTGAAAACAAAATATACACAACTGTACCTGTCTATAGAAAGTTGGTCGAAGAGGCCGTGAGGGAACTGCAGTATGGGCAGTACGGTTCACGGGTTTGGTGGAGGAGTGATCTTTAACAGCGTTTGAGGCACGAGAGGAATAGAATGCAGCATTAATGCCATTAGCAGCGCTATCATTCTAAAAGGGAAGAGAGAAAAGGTAAAAAAATAAATAAACATGAATTAAATGTTAATACATTAATTACAAGCAGAGATTGTATGCCTCTGCAGAGTATTGTAGTTTTAGTTAGCCAAATAAGCTTAGGAATAATCCTCACACTTTAGTAGTCAATTACTAAAAATGATTCTAACCACACATAAAAATTGCAGTTGTATTCACAGTGTATGATTTTACTGATCTTACAAGTGTATTCTCTGACGCTGAACTGATCTGAGGGATAGAAGGCTGACCATTTGCTGGATCCTTTATCTGAGGGCCATCTGTATTCTCAGACTCTACGACAACCACCCCATCTGTGGGGTCTTCAGGAGGAGATGACGGTTCCACACTGTTTTCTGACGGCTTGAAGGCATTGTCCAGATCATTTGGTAAGAAATTCGTCTCAGTCAAGAAAACTTGTCTGTCTAGGTGAAGGTCCGAGTCCAACTCGATTGTAGCATCTGGCATGGCGAGAACTGAATCACTTTTACTCCGAACTCTGTCCACGGCTAGGAAATCCATTTCCCCTCCCTCAGGATGCAACTCTTTCTCTGCTTTGGAGGAGGCTGGTCCAAAAGCGTTCTCCTCTGCAATTGCCTCGAGAGAAGTCTGTGTGTGGCCAAGCAGTTTTAAAGACCACTGACTGGAGGATTCTACCCCATGCCTGGATAAAGCATTGGTCCTCTCAGGGATACTGAACATATGCAGTGTGACAGAAATAATGAAGATAACCGCTGCAAACATGAAGAGGACTTGTTCTTGTGATTTGAATGCTCTACCCAGAGCTGTGCCCGTCCAGTCGAGGCCTCCCAACATGTAGCCAACAGCCCCACCAAGTCCTAAAAGACCAAAAACACAAGAGGGTTGGCAGCATTTCTGGATTTTAAAATGACAGCTTAATTTGGAACTCGATTTTGTTTTTATGCTGATATGCTAAATTAGAAATAAAAATTGACTAACTTCAATGTAAATAAAATCCTTTAGATCAAGACTGTTGCTTGGCGAAGGCATTCAGACCCCTTTAATTGTGTAAAATTCAACCACAAACTATTTTGTATCATTTGGAATTGAATGCCAAACCTCAGGGATCTGCCACCTGTTGCTCTATGAGCCCCTCACAGTGGCTCCTATCAACTTAATATGAGGACTGTTAAAATATAAAGAGACAGGTTTTGGCAGCTTTATTGTTTTCAAACAATACCTGCATGGCATTCATATGCTTTGATCAGAAGCTTTTAATTAACCAAACTCTGGCTGTAGGTTTAGGGTAAGTCTTTCTGGAAGGTGAACCTCAACCACAGTGTTAAAAGAAAAGTCTGTTCATATTCTGAATTCAAACTTCTAAAAGTGCTTTAAATATAAAGTTATTACCTACTGTTCAATAAATTATAGTTTTTAATTAAGAGTAATTTTCATTTGAATGTGCTTTACTGGGGGCATCCATTTTTGGCAAAGAACACTACTGCCACCTAGCAGTTTGTGACATCACGGTGTGGTATTGGCTGTTGAGCAAGTCCCAAAGCTCTATCTATTTGTCACTGAAGTGTTTATTGAAGGTGGCTACATATGACGTGTTTTTTCTTTGGCAAGTGCAATGGCAAATCCTCCCTTTTCAAGTTGTTTTTTTTTACTTTTACCGGATGTATTGCAACATCCAACTCCCCATGCACGTGGGCATTATCACTTTAACTATAGTTCTCGCAAATTTCAATCGTGAAACCTAAAATAATTGTTCTTATTTGCAGGAGTGTATAATAGTTCCCACTGATTTTGCTTGTAAAGCGGGGAGAATGTTGCTCGGCTTACCGCACCGTGACATCACTGTCAGAGATATCAGGAGTGAGGCGTTACTATAATTGGGCAAAAATGGCCGCTTCCAGACCTGGTGATCCCGACAGAAATTATTATTTAAATTTTTTTACTGATTAACGCGCAATTCATTAAATCACCGGGAATGTATTAGTTTTAGGTATAGATAATGATCCATTGATTCTTTCTTGCTGACTGGACTTTTAAATCTTTTCCTTTTAAATCTCTGGCAGCCTCTAGCGGTGAGATCATACCAAATGGGATAGACCACCAAAGGAAAAGAACCTGGTAGCTTTTCCCACCGAGCATCAGACATATCTGTGGAAACTTTTGTTGAGACGCGCTGCTCTAGATGTGCTTCTGACTTCAAAGTGCATAACCATCCAGGTTGAAGTGTTGGACCTCTTTGAAGCACATGAGATGTTTTCAGTCTGAAGGCTAAATAACAGCCCTTTATAAATCTCTGAGAACTGCACTGGACAAAATTAACCAGTACTTCTTAAAAGATAGTTTGTCCATAAATGGACTCTTGTTTTATTCACTTTGTGACTTTTCATTCAGTTTGTTGTACTTGTACGATATTGATTGACGTGTTTGCCGTATACCTCATTTTAAAAGTTAACAAATAATAGAAAAACAAAAAGTAAACATGCATTTAAAAAGTCTTATATATAAGTCTTACCAGCACAGAGGCCATGTATATTCAAAGCCATGTCTTGCTCATCAGTATCAGCAACGTCAAGAAGGTAAGCTGTGATTGGTCCCTCAGCAGCATCAGCACAGAAATCCAGCACCACAACACCAAGAACAGTGAGGACGATACCAATATGCTGCTGGTTTGGTGTGTCACCAATAGAAAGGCCTGAAACAAATCCAAACACACACATCGAGTTACCCTGCCAGACATGTAATCGATACACCAGCGTTTTTGTTCTGAAACTATGTCTCACCAATTACCGCTCCGTTTAGAAATAGTGCCACACCGAGGAGCACTCCTGTGCAGAGAGCTAGAATGAATGGTCTCCTCCGGCCCCATCGCAAAGTGCAGCCGTCACTGGCTGAGCCAATCAGTGGAGTGAAGATGAGACCCAGGATGGGACTGAGAAACCAGGTTAAACTATAATACTTCTCAGGAAGACCTAGACAAAACAAAATGGAGTCAATCATATCAAAATTCAGAATATAGCCAAGAGAAGACAGCCGCAGCAGTTAAACTAGGTTTATGGTGAAACCCTGCCTCATAATTTATCTTCCTATGATCATTCTAGAACTGGTATAGCATCACATTTAGATCCTGTCTTCTACTTTAGTCTGTAACTGCACAATATTAATGGAGGGAAATGTTGCTCATTTTACAACTATGTTATTTCTTCCTGGAAGGTAATCATTAAAAATCTATTGGAAAATATGATGTTTCTCCAACATGCACATTCGGAATACAGACATAGTAACCAGATAAGGCGCAGGATTTTCTCCCATTTCTAGCTGACTACCTAACATCCTTGTGAATGAATAGCTGGCCTGGCTAACACAAACATAGGATTTTAGTTTGTTGTGGACCTACATGTTGTGGACCTACAGCAATACATAAATAAAACATAAAATGAGGCATGCTGGTAGTGAGAGAACTCTTAGGTGGATCTGGTCTTTGGCAGAAAAAACACCTATAGTTTGGTCATGAAAAGCATAAAATACTAGTTTGTATTCAGACAGTTTAAGACTTGTAATGCTTCTAACAAACCTTACAGTTAATAACCTTTTTTGTATGTTGACACCTGCTTACACAACAGTCACCAGTTTTGTGCTCAGTAACAAAGCCTTCTTTTTAACTCTATGATAGAAAATGTTCAGGAGTTCTCATTTCATCATAATTTTGATTGACGTGATTGAAAGAAGATACTGGATTTGCTTATTTGTGTGAAGTATAAAAAGCTGTTTATTTCCAACATTACATCGGATTAACATTTTTAAATAAAAAAAATGAAACCATGTTTAATTAACTGTGATTAATACACTTTTCAAAACATAACAGCTCACTGTTTAGTTTAAAATGAGGTTGGATGAAGTATAAAATTTGTAAATTCTACCCCTGTACCTCAGACACAGAACTGTCCATGTCTCATTATATAATAGATCAGTCAGTTACCATAAGTTAAAATGCCTTAGTTTTACAGTTTCTATTGAAAAAATAACTATCAAAGTTAATACAGATAACAGAAAGGTAAGACAGCTGCATAAAGAATTGCAGTTTCTAACAAAAATAAACATAACATTTTCATTGTATAACATTTATACAATGAAATATATTCTTTAAAAAAAAAAAAAACTTTTACCTAACTTTGTACAACATAAAAGTAATCCCAGGGTAATCCCCCATGTAGTTAATTTACTTAGAAAGAATTGGCAGTAAAAATGCCTGTAGTTTACAAAACACAAACCTAATGTGTTACTAGATCCTTTGGGCAAACAATGTTAATGTTTCTGCTAAAAACATTAACAATCATGAATGCAAATGGAAAAAAAGTTCCTTTTACCATGAATGCTCCTCTCAGATTCTCTCAAATTCTCATACGATCTTTTATAAACGTTATCCTGAATAAAGAGTCAAAACTTTAGTCAAAAATGTAGGTCTCCAATAGGGAACCTTTGGAAAAGTCAAACCGATGCTTCAAAAATTGTTCATAACCACAGTAAATGAAGTTAACTTGATATGTATTACATTAAAAGAAAAGAAAAGCAAACCTAAAATGTGCTGTGTCATGCATTCTTCTCATACCTGGCCAGGGGAAGCCGCCTTTGTTTTATTTCTGCTACGCTGGCAGGGTTGACAAACTGTAGCCCCTCATTGGGTACGGAAGTTACATAACACAGATATGCAGCCAAGGACACAAACTAATTCAGCCTGTCTAAGATTTAACGATAACCGTAACCTTAAAAAAAGATGACATTTTTCTGCGTTTTGTGGTGACAAGCTGCACATGTCAAAGTCTTTTTGATGATAATAGTGCTCTACAAAGTCAAACCCCATCATTCAGATGATAAAGTAATCCCAAAGTAGCAAAGTGTGGGCATAATGCTTTAATGTCCTGAAACAGTTCAGAGGAATGTGGCCATAATTTCATACTAAAATACATCAAAGAAATTATGACCACAGCTTTTAAATGTAAAATACAGTAATCCTACTTATATTCTTCTAAACATTTAGCTACTGATGTAAAGTGACTAGCTTTTTCATCTATTACAAGTATGGAAATAAAGAGACATAGAAAATACCATGTGTTTTTTCAGCTCTTATATTAGTTCACTGGTGAAAGTAAAAAAGGTTACTGAACTGGTTATAGAGATTAGAGCTGTACCCACCTATCTGTAGAAGCACTGGCGTCACTAGAGCAGTTTCCATGGCATAGCAAAACTCACGTCCAAACATCACAGCTGCATGCATCACCCAGCGATACCAGGGGATCGGATCTGTTCTGCCCTCTTCATCCTCACTATTTTCATCTTCCCCGACATTGCTGGCATTTATTTTGTCAGGCAGGTCCATGACCTTACTTTCCTCAGCTTCTTCCATTTCTGGCTGGACTTTATTGGAATAATTTCTGGTGAGTTTGTTTCACAACTTTTAGCAAATCCCCCCTAAACAAGCTCCACTAATGTATATTGAAGCAAGACAAATCAAGTTTAAAAAATGGTCCATAACATTCATCTTGGGTCATTGATTGGAGTAGATGCATTTTATTTTTAAATGGCAGATCAGCTAAATAAGTGGAAATTAAAAATTAGAATGGGATAAATTAGCAAGGATGGTTCTGATGGTGATCTAAAAGTGGTAGGGATCCAACACTTGTAAAGATGTTGCTACTTTTAATTTTCAGATGTTTTGTCTGTAGAAACCAAGCAAATAATTGAAGGGGTTTTTGTGCAGATGCAGCTGGATTGGAATCAGTAGGTGACTGCAAAAAAACAACAACAACAAAATGAGTTGTACCATTAACAAGGTTTAACATGTAGCACAGAAGCTAATATATAAACACGCTGTAGGGGAGAGATGACATTTTAAATGCAGTCTCTTGCAAAAATATGAATACCTCTTGAACTTATTCACATTTTGTCACATAGTAGCCATGATTTTTTTTTATTTCTTGTGGATTTTTTTCTCTGATAGATCAACCAATTCAGTTCTAGTAGAACATAACTGAAAAAAAGTATAGATGCATTCGGAACTGTTTTGTACAAGTAAAATCTTAAGAGGACTTGCATACGTGGGTGTTAGAACTTAATACCCTAAAGGGAAATCACCAATCAACTCCCATCAGATGTCCATCTTATTGCATTTTAACCTCAGCATAACTTTAGTGTTTTGCAGTAGCAGACCATCACAGCAAATCCCCTGTGAAGCAGGGCAATTACGATATTATTCAATGATAATAGGTTTTGTCAACAGAATTGATGGAAATATCAGTGATGTAAATAATCTGCATTCTTTAAAAACAACCAGATAACAGGCAGCAAATAATTTGAAATTGGGGCAGAGGATAAACTTCCCACGAACAAATTGGGCTAAATATAGAGTCAGAACTAAAATGAAACTATTTATCTACTTGTTTTATACAGTTGACAGAGCAAAAATACAGCCTCTAGATGGGCAAGCCAGCAGAAGCGTAGCCAGAAAATTTTTTATAAGGGTGGCCAGACAAAAACCAATGTACACTGAGGGCTGGCCGAAAGTAGATAGCACCAGAACCTCAGGGTCAATCTACAGCGTTCCTACTGGAAAATTTACGAGCAAAACATCCATATTTTCTAAATAAAGACAAACTAAACTTTCCTACAGTCTTAGCTAACAAATAGACACATATATTTAAACATCTGTGCTTTCTGGATAAAAGGTATATTGGATAAAATTCTTTCAGGTTTGAGTTCTGGGGCGTACTTTTTTCAAGTACTAATATCTACACAAATTGATTATTTAAGTTCTTATTACAATTGTTATTTATCTATGATTTCACTAAAGACTCCTAGATGAATTGCAGAGAGATCATTTTATTTACCCCATATAACACCAAATGTAGTTCTTTAATGTTAGTATATTGATGTGCGTAATTAACCACAAAAAAATCAAGTCGAACTCAGCTCCGCAGTGAGATGGAGCTGCTCTGACTCGTCTATCCAGAAGCCAAACAAATAGAAGAGGAATATGAAGCTCACTAGAGTGAAACGCACTGCCTTGGCAATTTGTGCAATTTTGTGATCTGAAAGCCCAAAGAAGAAAAGGCGACAACATATTTGGACAAAGACATGACTAAGCAAACGTGGCTACTACGGTCTGTTAATTTCACAAAAAGAACTCTATTTTACTTATTACACCTACGCCATCCTTCTGTGTTTACATCTGAGAGGAGGAAGAAGAAAAAGAAGAATCCTTGTTTGCGCATGACCACTAAGCTATTTTCCCACAACGACCTCATGATTCCTGATCGGGAGTTGTTCATGAGAGGCTGATCGCTCCTCCTTACCCCCTGAACACTACGACTCACAATCAGGCTGAAAGTCGGCCCGATCCAAAGATTCTTGCACGACAGGAAAATCGCCCCGAAAATCTCACAGTGTACACCCGGCTTTAGAGGGAATAAAATGGTAGGGGTTGACCACCCCTGGCCCCCCATCTAGCCCCGCCCCTGCAAGCCAGTAGAGAAGGAAACAAATCAATTTGGAATTGCAAAATCTGAACACGTTGTAGGAGTGTAAATACTTTTGCATAATACTTTCCAATAAAGTGTCACGAGTATTTAGTACTTTTTGCATCCCCAATAGAAAACAAGAAGTCCTCCCAGGCTTAAACGAAAATGTAGTTTTGCTTCATAATAAACATACAAAATATGTCATTAGATTTGAAGAAGGAACTGAATATATCCAGAGGTTGGCTACATGATTTTTTTTTTCCATTCATAAACTAAAGCTTGAGCTGCTTCACATTCTAACTTTTAATAGGTGTAAACCAATAAACCTTACATCAGAGGCACAACAAAAGCCACATAAAGAAATAAACCACTATTGCAACACACTGTTGTGCAAGTGTTGACTATGTAGATGGACAGATCTGCCTAAAAAAGGCACATGTACTTTGAATGCTGGTGTCATTTAACTCTGAGGATATTAGGCTTTTCTACTCTTTTCTATATTTCCCTGCAGGCCACTGCTTTAACTTTCAGCTGCGGATATGCGACGTTTGATTTCTGCTGCTTGTAGATTAGGAGCTCGATCCGCGCGAATAATATCCAGAACGTGTTCTATACGAAAAGCAAAAACATTAACTTTCATTACAAAGTATTTAAAGTTTCCCTTTGAAAGGAATGCAGGGGAGCGCTTGTGTAACTTGTCAAGGCTTGTTTTGCTGGAAATAAAAACTCCTTGGCAAACTTTACCTATCCCGCCTATCCTTAACCGCAACTAAAGCCAAGAGTTTTTTTGTTTAACAGGCAACAGCAGCAGAAGTTATTCCATTAAAGCGGCTCATTCGTGGACGCTGACGTTAACCCTACCTTGACTAAGGTTTGACTTGCTAATGTTACCTTGACGAGCTAAACAGGCTAAAATAAAAACTACCAGCAAACGTTTACGACTCGTCTCTGGAAAACCAATAAATAAAGGACATACCTAGACAACTCATATCTCTGCTGACACGGAGCTGTTTCCGGACTTTGAAAATTTCACGGGAAATGTCCCCATAAAAACGTCAAAATGGGGCTAGCGTTCCGGGCTAACCTTCACCAGCGACTGTATGGCACACGCGCTCCACTCATCAATTTCAATGGTTTCCACAGTAACAAGGAGGGGGTGTGGACAAAGATGTTTAACGTGACGTCAAGTAAAGAAACAAATCAGTATCATATTGCACTACTTACCATATGCTCTAATTGTTTCTTAAATCCTCATAAATTAGAGGTTGACTGCGCACGTATGGAATACAAACGATTTGCTTATTTTGGAGATATTTGGTCTCAGTAGACTAACCGATAGTGTAAATATCAGTAAGCAGAGTGTGCAGTTGCTTTGGGGCACTGCCATACATTCTGATTAGGAAGAATAATAATTCAAGATATCTTAAATTTTGACACCGGATTTGTCATTTAAAGCGTCACACGCTGATTTTTTTTCTTCCTGTGGATTAGACTGACAGTAAGGAATTTTTTAGGAACGATTCTCCTGGAAGCCCATTAAAAAGATCATTACACATTTTGACTATTTAGAATGTCAATTTAAGATATCTTTACTGAAAAAGCTGAGTAATTCAAGATATGTTTAATTCATTTAGAAATATCTTAAAAGGAAAGAGTCGAAATTACAATTCAAGATATCTTTAAATTTGTTTTGTCTAGTCAATATTTGCTTTTAAGATATCAATAATTAAGTTTTCACTAGTCAAAACTGCATATCTCCTATTCTTAAACACATTTACGATATTATGAAGTATGGTGGCATTTGAGATATCTTTAATTAGAATTATGACTAGTCAAAACTAAAATCGGGATATCTTGAAATTACTTTATGACTAGTAGTAATTTAATCGTAGACATCTGAAATGTGTATTTCAGATAGTACGTAATTCATTCGAGATATCTTAAATTGACTTGTCCATACAAGTTAATGGTATATCTGACATCATTTCGAGTAGTCAGAATGTAATTGGAGATAATCCTGAATAGGTATTTTCACTAGTCAAAATATAATTAGAGATATCTTAAATAGCTAAAACGTCTAGTCATAAAACAATTTGAGATATCTTGAATGTAAAGGCGGTACAACCGAATTTATGTTAAACAGCTGCCATTGACACCAAGGTAAATCCCTACGCAATTCTGGACTAGGATGTCTCTTTACAAAATTCACCTTTAATACACCTGATAGTTTGACAAGTGACCGACCCTTATTTATACCCCAACTAATGGCAGGTTTCAACAAGATGGTGAGCCGGTTAAATACGACACCAATAGCAAAGCAGACAGTGGTACTTTTAATTACTATGTTAATAACTGTGTATACATGTAGTTCATTAAATGGTTGGTATAAAAAAAAAATACACTCCTATAATATGTTTCAAACCGAAATAAACATCTTAAAAGAACAATGCATTTGAGTATTTAATTTTTTACAATACGACTTGGAATTATGGGTAATCCATAGCGTCGATTAAAAACATGGGATGGAGTGTTGTACTTCATATGGGGCCCACCAAGATAATGTTGCTTACGGTCCTATTGTTGTGTCGTTACGCCATTGAGACTATCCCAGTATAATAATATATAATTAAGAATGTAATCCCAGTTATATGATACATTGAGAAGTTTATAACTCAGTCAAAAATGTCCCAAGATATGTGTTTACACATTTGCCTTATCCAGAAATATATTATCTTGTAATTTATATACATTTTTGCATTTTATTTTATACTGTGAAATACTAGAATTTGCATATAACTGTTGGTCAGGTCACAAAATTTAGATATCAAATCATATGTTATGAGCAAACTTTTAACCAGTATTTGAGTGACTGTTTTACCAAGTACCTCTTAACTCTTTCTTGAGAAATTTCTTGGATGACAACTTACTACTTTTATTTACACTTAGACTTAGACAGATATATTTGTCTTTTTTTTTTCTTTTTACACAAGTGTAAAACAAAAAGAAATTTAGCTTAGAACAGCTCTCTGGACAATTAGATTTTTTTTTAAAGTGCAGCCTTGAAAAATAGTAAAAAAATATATGTAAAAACAGTAATATAAACATATGACTGTAAATGTACAGTTCTAACATTTGATCAAATAGTTGTTAAAGTAGGACTACCCTTTGGGAAAAAAATGTGGGTACTCTACCTGCTTCAACACATAGTCATCACAGCTTAGTAAAATGGGAATTTGTATATGTCTGTGTGTTTGAAAATCTGTGGAGCTTACCTGAGATTTCAAGGATCTTATTTTGCCTTTAGAATTCCTCCATGGCATGGATTAAATAAAGACTGCAGTCAAGATATTCTTAAAATCTTTGGTCCATATTGACAGCATAATACAGTTGTAGTTTTGTTGGATGAGACCTTTATTCTATTGTTCTCAATTGCAGCAAGATTTAGTAAATGTGAAGGTCACTGAAGTGCAATGAAAGCATTGGCTGAAAAAAAACCACATTGAGGTAATTTGCAATTTGCAAATAGCCATAAAAGGACAGATACCCCCTGGTCATAACCATAACCAGAAACAGGGTCAACATCAACTGTTGATTCAAGGGAAAATAAATCCATACATCCATGATGTGTACACCAAATTCTAGCACTACTATATGTCGCAGCTAAACTTGAAATTCGTCAGACCAGTCAACATTTTCACTATCTGGAATTGTCTAATTCTGATTTTAGCCTCAGTTTCCTGTGGATTGATAGCCTGTGCTGTTTTCTGCTGCCACAGCCCATCTGCTTCAAAGATTGATATCTGAAAGATGGTATTTCACGTAAATTTGGATGACAATGGCCTAGGATGCAATGAGAGGCTCACCACTGGTGACTTGATGTCCTCAGGGTTATTTCATCAAGGTTTTTGCAACCACACTACGGTACAGCTGTATAAATTCAGACTATGGAATAACCACAGTGCTCTTATTGTTGGACCTTAGTGCAGCTTTGGTCTTTTTTGATTCTATTAGAGCACCCGGAAAACTCAATTGGCCTTTCTGGTAAAGCACTTGACTGGTTTAATTCATCTTGAAGGACATTGACATTTACAGTGGGGACTAATATCGAAGCACAATCTTTAAAAACTTACCCAATTATTTACCTTTTGTCAGCTTGATAACTGCAGCTGTGTCTTCACGGATCTGCCAAATAAATGTATCACACAGCTCCAGTTGATCTGAGATAGTGCTGCCCGCTTCTTCACTAAAACTTACAAAGTAAAGAACATTGCCATAGTTCTAAAGTCCTTAAACTGGCTTCCCATTTTCAGAGAAACATAGACCTACTTCTGGTATTTTATGAATTATTGAATTGCAAAACCACAAAATACTTTACAGACTTGTTGTTAGGGTATCAACCATCAAATTAGGTTTTCTAGTTCAAGCCTGCCCAGAACTAAAAATGGAGAAGCAGAGTTTAGTTTCTTTATGCTCCACATATCTAGAACAAACGTCCAGAATTCTATAAAAGTGCTGAAATCCTGGTTTGCCTTAAGTCAAGATTAAAAGCCTTTTTACTTTTAGCGCTGCATTTTGCTGTGCTATTTAGACTATTATCTGAACATCTTCAGTATAAATTTCTAGTCTAACTTTTTATGCCATTTCCATGTACTGTCTTCTATGTATTTTCTTATGTCCTGATTATGTATATGATGTTGAATTCTCTTCTTACTGAAATGTGCTATACAAATCAAACTGCCTTGCACTTTCTTACTGGTCTTTACTGGATATTTTATGTTTAAACCCTGATATGTAAACCTTAGACATGGTTGACAAAATTCCAGTAGATTGGGAGTTTCAGAAGTACTCAGACCAAGTTGTTTGGCATCAACTGTTCCACGTTTAGTGAGAACCTGATCAGAGTTCATTTGATTAACTGTTTTCTTTCCAAGACAAAGCAATATATGGAGCTAGTCTACTATATATAGTATTACTTAATCAGTGGTACTATATTCCTTTTATTTGTCAGCTCTGTTCCAACAGTGTGTGTTGACAAAATGCAGGTCACTTAGGCCTTGTCCACACGAAGTCAAAATGAACACGAAACGCTAATATTTTCCAGAACGTTTGTCTTAAAGACGGAGACGTAAAATAAATGTGATTGACCACATGAATGCATGAAAACGCTGCAAAATGTATGCCAGGCCTGTAAGTGGCGCTGTGGTGCCAAAGCAAAAATAGGCGAAAACAGGCAACGAAATATTGGGCATGCGCAGTAGTATTTATACAACAACCAAACCGGAAAACCCCTAGAAGAAGAGCCAAATCGATATTGCTCTGTTCTTCCTGGAGATATTCCAGAAGAAGAAGATTCTGTTGTAAGCTTGACAGCAGGGTGAGTAGCATGAGCAACAACCATTCAACACAGTACGGCGCCATTGTTGTTGTGATACTATGTCGCGCATGCGTGTTTAGAGGCGACGCTATGACGCATGCGTGTAAGAAAAAACATGCGGTCAGAGCTTAAAGATGGAACCGCGAAAACGGTGTTTCAAAATCTTCCCACTCTGAAGGCTTAATAAAAAAAAGATCGTTTACAGACCCCAGAAACGCCGGCTTCGTATGGATAAGAGGCTGGTTTGGTGAAAAATTAGTGAATTTAGGCCAGGGTTTGACTTCGTGTGGACGAGGCCTTAGACCTGGGTTCGTGTAAGGTTTCTTCCTGTTAAAAAGGGAGTTTTCCTGTCCACATGTCACTTCATGCATGCCAGCTATGAGCTGCAAAAGTCAATAACATAATGGAGGTGACTGTCCACTGTTGCTAAGTGCCCATTAGAAGGAGAAAATTCTGCAAAATTATTGACTAGATGCAATGTGCTGCATGTATGGATAGAAAATATTTTAACCAGTGAGACCATATGATTTAAAGTGATTCTGTAAAGTGCCTTAATAATCTTAAAAAATAAAAAAGTTTAGGGTAGTCCTGAGTTGTAAAACAGCAGATATCACTCCTTAATATTTTTTAAATTTGTTAAACACCATTTGTACATATTGAAATCACACAAAAATGTGGCTGAACACTGCAATATGACAATATTTCTATACTGTAAGGAAATGTGCTTAGTCACTTAAAATCAATGATCAGCTCATAAAAGAATTGAAGGTATAAAAAGTCTTAATAATCTTTACAGGAGCATTTTTTGTTTGTTTGTTTCTGGCTATTGTCTAAAATCTGCAGCTAAAAATATGTCAATATCATCACTGTTCATCATTTAATTGTTGTTAAATGGTAAATTTTAATACTGAGGCATATTCACAGAGTTGCTATAACTGTACTCAGTAGTTGCAAGAGTCAGGATTTAAATATGAACATTAGGAAGTATTTAGTCAAAGGAATACAAAGAAAATGTTTCTTTTTACCTTTAAATGTGAATGATGAAGGTATATGTCAGGATATCTGAAGGAACTTCACGAGACTTTATTGGTTATCCTGTATTTTATACAAGCTATGATACAAAGGTCCTTGAGTAGTCTTCTTATACGCAACATCATCCAATCAAAGCCCTGGGTGATGAGGATGCCTTAGCATGATGTAAAGCTTAGTTGTGTCAGGTGTCATTGCCCATGTAGCTGATCACAGCAAACTAGGATTCTTTTGAAAGTCTTGAGCTGAAGATCAGTCATAACACAGTAAAGCTGTTTTCACCATTTAAAGAAAACATTTATGTATGTCAAACTTAAATCTTCTTGTTAAAGCAGTTTTATGGTATGATATTACTCTCCAAAATTCGCCCCTGCTGTACACTGGGAATCCTGGTCATCATGATCCTGCTATTGGTGATGGCATTAACTATCCCTCCAGAGGCCTTGGAGCTGTGCTGCATACTGACAATGTCACCACTGGTCTGGTCTGGCTCAGCACGACGCAAAATATGTTTCATTGTGGCCTACAGACAGTAAACAGTGGTAAATAACTTAACTAGTAACAAATCAAAATAATAATTAACAGTTTTTAAGACATATACAGTTAGTGAGAAAGAGTGGGAAGACAGAACTTCAAGACTCACCTTGAAATTATTTGTAATAAAGCAGTACACAACAGGATCCATACAGCTGTTCAAGCTGCTTAGAGTGACGGTTAAGTGGTACACGATCACTTGATGGGGCATGTCAGGGTAGAAGTACAACAAAACCTACAACAACAAAGAAATTATATATATATATATATATATATATATATATATATATATATATATATATATATATATATATATATATATATATATATATATATAGTGCATGGATGGATGGAAGGATGGATGGACAGATATGTTTCTCTGACTCACCTGTCTGATGTGAAAGGGAGTGAAGCAGATGGTGAAGATGATCAACACAGTTATCAGCAGCTGGACAGCTCTTCTCCTTCTCTTTCTTAAGACAAGTGAGATGCAAAACTGTAAATCAAGCAATCGGGGATCTCAAAGCATCAAAAGTTATTCTTCAGGCCTCTTCCCTCCTTTGAAACTCAAGCTTTAACTGGTGTATAAAAGTTCAGATTTACTTTATTCTTCAGTTGCCCTTTACCTGCTCTGTTGCATCAGATGGCGGTCAGTTAAGGCCCACATAATGCGCAGTGTAAAGACAACAATGACAATGAGGGGCAAGAAGAACTCAGTGATTGTGAGGAAGAGGAGCTTTGAGATGCAGCACTCTGTTTGCTGGAAAGCAGTGGAGAGGAAGGAGTATGTAACCACGATGGCAAACAGCCAAACCGTAACGCACACAAGCTTGGCCACGCTGGAGTTCCTCCAACGACGGGAAGCTTCAACCTGCAAAGACAAAGCAGTTCAACAGGTTTTTAACATCCTGATAAGGGATTAGCAGGACACTATTTATCTTCAAAGACTGAATTGAGAAAGATGTTTGTTTAACTCACCTGCACAATGGCAAGGTAACGGTCAACACATATGCAGGTTAAAAACAAGATACTGCAGTACATGTTCACAAAGTAACTGAAGATGTGCAAATAGGAGCAGGTGAGACAAGCTCCTCCACTGTAGTAGAGTGAGATGCGAGTTGGCAGAGAAAGATTCACCAAGAGGTCGGTTACGGCCAGGTTGATGGTGTAGATCACAGAGGAGGTCTTTTGCTTCGTTCGGTAGCAAAAGACGTAAATTGCAACTGAGTTGAGCACCATGCCCACCTGGAAAAATAGAGGACATAAAATGCCTCACAAAAAAAATCAAACAGAAAATGCCCTAGGACTTTTCCAGCTTCTCGTGTTGCAACTCTACCCTTCAATTAATTTTATAGACACTGTATTTGAAACACCAATTAAACAATAACAAACGTTGTGAAGTAAATATATTTTAGCAAACTACAGTGTCTCTTTCTACATGTTAAGGGTTGCTGAACTGTGTTCTGGGTCCCTACACTGCAAAAACAATCTAGAAATAAGAAAAACATGTCTTACATTAAGTGTATATACCCCTAATTTGAGTAGGTAAATAGGAGAATCTGCCAATGGAATGAGTATTTTCACTCTTAAAATAATATAATTAAACTATATGCACTTGAAATAAGACAATGCAAATGTTCCTTTTATTATTCTAAATGTGAATTGTCTCATCTCCTAAACTCAAGACAATATCCACTTATTCTAAGAAAAAAAATTATTTACTGTTACCGTAATTGTTTTGCAGTGTATGACTTCATGATGCTGTTTGTTCTTTAATATTCAATAAAGGTTATTGGTTACTCTATATTTAACCTAGTATCAGTATAAAGAAGGCCAAATAGTTATTAACTACAAATGGAAAAACTTCAAACAGCGATAGAAATGGATAAACATTATGAAGAAGTTTTGTTGAGACCTCCTACCAGGAATATGACAGAGTTTATAACCATCAGTGCAATCCAGAGGCCGTAAAAGTCGTTGTAGAGTCCTTCGTCTAAGTGAGCCAGTCTTTCAAGATAAGCTCCCATGTCACTCCTGTTTGATTGTCTGGCTGTTAGAGGCAGCGTGGAAAATGAGGTGTTGATAGAAAGCCAGGATTCAGTATTGCTGCAGTTCATCATGTTGGAGATGTGATGATACACATTAAGAAAATTAAGATGGGGTAAAGATGATTGTGGAGATGCTGGTGGCTTGGTCATAAACTGTAAGAGAGAAAAACGCTCAATTAAATTATCTGTTAAAAAAGCAGCCTGCATGACTTTTAATGGTTTTCTTTTATCCCTCTAAATGTTGGATTCAGCATCTCAATAGTTATTAATTGTTACCAAGCTATACTGTTCACCTCTTGCTGGAATAAAACTTCCTACTCTCTGTTGCAAAAGTATTCAGACCCCTTGCATTTATCACATTTTATCACATTGCATCTACAACCTTCAATGTATTATATCCGCTTTTTATGTGGTTGTGTCAATTTTGGGCCTGAATTCATTTATGAAAACAAGCACAGACAGACACTCTCTGTCCAGTCTGGCAGAGCTATGAAAAATTTCCAAAAAACCAACAACGAAAACCCACCAAGAATAATGCTGTAACTTTGTAACTGCATTCGAGGACTTTCATAATTCTAAAAGCAGAGCATTTTACCATTTGTCCTGCTGAGTCCTGACACAGATCAGAATTCAGGATGATTTCACTCAGACTGAACACTTCTTGTAGGGAGTGAAGTTCCCCACTGTGGGACAATAAAGGGAATTACATTACATTTAATACGATGCAGTTATGGCATCAGCTTCCAGCTTTATTGTAGTCCAAACATTATTGAATCAAAAAGAGTCCAACTATCCACATTAAATGATTTTTTTGTGTTGTATTGTTTTCTGCTCCTCTTCACTCCAGAGGGGGACATGATTAACATGCAGTACAGTGATTGGGATGCAGTCTGTGTTAAATGTAAATGAAGTGTAACTTGCACATTTACACAGTCAGTAATTTGCCATGTCTTTTGTTGTTTCTTTCTTGTTGCCACTGGGTTTGACTTTTAGTTGAGATTTATTTTTTCTTTTCTTATTTCTGTAAGATGAGTCTTTGCTCCTTACAGGGGAGATATGGGACTCTCCTTTCTACACTCATGATTGTGATTGGTCTGCTACCTTGAACCTGCCCCTTTATATGTTTACGTTCACAGATTCATGATCAGTTAAAGCTGGATCGAGATGGCGAGTTGATAACCAGCTTCGTGGCACCGCTGATCCTGATTACCACTGTTGTGGATAGGTTAAACTGGATGAACTGGAAGTGACCCTGCTACATTGAGCTTCCTTCATGGTATAGGCCTCTGGTATCACAATAAAAACATGATTCAGTAGTGAATAGAAAATGCACAGCACACTTTTTATCTTTTTATCTTTAAAGTTTTTTTAGAACTATTGTTTGGTTTGTCATCCACATTAGTCACAACCTCTGTCTATTACTATAAAACTTAAATACACTCAAGTTTGTTGTCGTAATGTGACAAAATGCAAGAAAAATCAAGTGGTATAAATGCTTTATCTTGCCATTGCATTTTGAGTTGAATGTGCAGAGAGGCAAGAATAGCTTTTTTTCATTCCTCCGCCTCGACGTGTCCTTTCTCCGTCTTTGACCCTACAATGCTTGTTGTTGTTGGCACAGCTGCACTGACAGAACCACTTCAAAATCAATTTGTGAGCTATTTGGTATTTTTTATATAATACAACATTCCCTGCTAGCAGAAACCATCTCTCAAGGGTTATGGGCACATTTATTTCCTTTTTTGTCAGAATGACAAAAAGTATATTACTCAATTTTTCCAAATGCTAAACTGAATTGAGTCCATTTTTGTAGATTTACACATCTTAAAGTAACTAAAAAAAAAAACTGCCCTGTTGAGTAATAGTTGCTTAGTTGTGTTTATTTTACTTTAAGAAAAGTGGTAAATTGTTCTCACAGCTGAAATAAACCAAATGCATTTGAGCAGAACTTGTTTGTGTGTTAACAGGATATTTACGTATTCATAATTTGTACCATATCAGATTATTAGTCTACAATTATTCACTGGAAATAGTCATTTCTGAGGCCGATGAAACTGCAAAAGCTGCATTGATGTCAAAATAAGATAGGCCAAAGCTTTTTTAGTGCTAGGACAGCTATTATGGTAAGGATAATTTTTTTTATAAAGTCAGTGAATAAAGGCAGATACAAGATATAAAAAAACAATAATGAGTTATATAAAGCAAGGCAAAAGGGATAACATATGCCCATATGTTACACGAGGACATATTTCTCAGTTTCACAGCTTTGCATAAAATCTCTTTAAAAAGTGTCTTTGTCAAAGATTTAAGATGATATATTTATAATTCAACTATTAGAATTAAACTGTCAGTTGTGTATCGTTATCAGCTGAATAACTCATTAAGAAAGGTGCTTTAGTATGAATTTCAGTTTATTCTAATTTTGTCATATATGTTAGGCAAACACTGGCAGGAGGCCAATCACATCACATTTTTCCTGCATGTCAAATACAGTTTACTTACTCGAGTTCTCAAACTTTTAAGGATTTGACTCACAAAAATAAAGGTAAATAGACTCATGATCCAAAGAATTGGTTTAGTGTATAAACTTCTCTACAAAACCACTAACATTGACAATAATAAAAGTAAAACAAATAGATTTATTTGACAATTTATCAAGTTTTTTTTCTATGTATATGTGATATTTTTATCTCCATTGCATATGCTTCACCATCATAATTTCCTTCACTTTCAACAAAAGATCTCAAGACACCATACTTGTTGACGCACTTTGGGCACATATGTTAGAGAACCTAAGTGCATAATGTAATAAAGACCAAGGAACACAGAAGACAGCTGTAGAGAGGTTAAAAGCAAAAGAATTTAATAACACAGGGTCACTGAGCTAATGCTGAGCTAATGCTGATGCTAGACAGTCAAGGTCAGCATTGAATAGAGAATCATCTAAGAGGCTAGTAGAATCACTGGAGGAGCTGCAAAAAGTCACAGCTCAGGTAGGAGAACATGTGACCTGTATACACTTTAGTCATGCACTTCAAAAGACATAAAAGCCTGCCAAGAAAAGTACTAGTGTGCAAGACAGCCAAAAGAAGCTATGTTTGAAGTTTGCCATATTGCATATAGGGGGAGCAGTGAACACGCAGAATAGGTGGATCTGGTCAGGTTAAACCAGAAATAACTTTCTAACACTTTAGGTTTCAAATTGAAACATTGTGGGATTTTGATGTGGGAAAGCCTTTCTTTAATGGGCTGAGACTGATCAGAGCTGATGGGAAGGTGGAGGGGCTCAGTAAAAGGCAATCCAAAACAGAAAACCTGCCAAATCCTTGAACGGACTTGGGATTGAAGGAAAGGAGCAATTTCCAGCAGGACCATGATGTTAAACATAAAACAAATACAACAGATTCGTGCGGATCAAACATATTCATCCCGAACTTAAATTTTAAATATAAATCCAATTTGAAATCTTTGGTGAGACAAAAGTATTTGTTTCCAGATACTGTCGTTCCTGTGGTGCCAAATGTCCACAGCTGGGGGAGATCTCAAAATATTGCTGCTGTAACTGCAGCAAAAGACAGTTCTACAAACTATGCCATCAGATGCACACCACACAGTTGTGCAATACCTTTGCTTTCCAACCACAAATTACCAATCTCAAAAACATTGAACTTTGTGGATTTAATCTCAAGAAGCAAAACTGCTTAAGCAGGAAGATAAGTAGTCATATGAAGTTTATAGATAAGCTGCTGTATAACACCTTTTTTTATTACTGTATTTTTGTACAGCATTTTAATTTTATGAGGGCACTTAACCGGAACTCTTTCTGATAGATTTTCTTTCTCATTTAGTAAGGGTTATTTGTAAAACCTGGGAAACATAACTGATATGGCACTTCCAAGAGTGGAACAGGCCTGTTGCAAATTCCTCTCACTGAGTTATTGCTAAATCTCTGTCCTTCACAAAAAGATTGTGGAAGTCCACAAATCAGGAAAGGGTATGAACTCATTTCTGAAGGACTAAGAGTTCCCACAGGAGCACGGTAGCCTTAAAAATAAATTGACTTTCCAGCTAAATTGAGTAACTTAGGAGGGAGGTCCTGAGACACAGAGAACTTAAGAGAAAATCGTAATACTGCTGCAAAAAAAAGCTTTGGAGAAATGAGTGACACGCAAAAATAGGGCCTGCAGTTCTGCATTCTGTAAACCTTTCATGGTAAGTTTGTTAAACAGAGGAAATTACGATTCGAATGCAGGAGAGAAATCACACAAAACATAAAAAAGCTAAAAGATCTGTAAAACAAGAAAACTAATAATAAAAAAAGGGAAAAATGACTAGATATTTAATTGCGAAGTTTAAAAACTGAATCAGTTATTTGATTTTCACTTTGTATTATACAAATTTTTTTTATTGTTTCTATTTAAAACACACATAGAAATTTCCCTAATACTCACAGAATGTACCAAATTGCATTTTGTTTAAATTAATTTACTTTCCAAAGATCCAAACTATCTCCCTTAAATCAACCTGTTTGGTTATGATTATAATTTGATTGAAGAAGAATTCAAGTTTATTGTCATTACGCTCTCACAAGTACAAAGTAACGAAATTCACTCTCAGCATTTAACCCATCCCCTTAAACTGTATGCACCACACAATAGTGCACATCCAGCATAATTAATGTATGTGACTGTCAAACATTACTGAGAGAAAATAACACTGTCCAAATAAATTCCAGCAGTGTGAGAGTTCTGTTTGGATGAGTGTTGACTGCATGAATGACAGAAAATACAGAGAGAAAGAGAAACAAAGGGTGAGACAGTGTCAGGGAAATCTCACGCTGATTTAACATCATCAGACTGTAGCTGTAACTAGAGACACCTTTTGGCAAAATGAATGTTTTCTTGTTGCTGTAATTCAAATAACAGCTAGTTTGTGACTACATTCAATTCTATGAGGACTAACTGTATTTTAAGTGTATTTTTATGTTAATTTAGTACCATTTAAAAAAAAAAAAGATGGCTTACCTATCGTGGCTTCAAATCTATTTCCTAATGAAGTTGCCTTCTCCTCCAAAACCAAAAGTTCTTCGATAAAGTCCAAAGAAGCATCATTCTCAATTCAACAGCATTCATGCTTTTTGTTTTTAAGACAATATTTGATGTCTTGTCTCAGTGTATCAATCAACACTCTTTTATCACATTTTTGAGTCATCCTAAAAGGCTGCAACAAAAATGTTCCCCATCAGTAGAAAACTGTTTCTGATTCCTTACTCGACCATTTCTTGCTCTATTGGTATATTTAAAATCCCTGTGATCATCTGCTTCAGATTCCTGGTCTCATTCATTTTACCATACATTCTTCTTTTCCTCTATCCCCTGTCATGTTAACATCATTTTCAGGCTCTGGTCTCTCTCAGTGTCCCTGCCTTCCAATTTTTCTCCCTCGAATTCTAGAGCAGTCCTCTGTTTGGTGCTGAGACAGGAAGTCTCTGCAGTGTTTACATTCTGCAAAGGCATGTTCAAAATCCACGCACATAATATAAGAGTGGCTGTTGTTGGAGTATATCTTTACTAAAAACAATAAATTATGTAATAGTAAAAAAAAAAAAAAATCCCGGTAACATGCAAACATGAAAAGGCAACTAATGCTCCCCTAAAATCTATATGATTATTTTTGCCTGGCTCTTCTGTATTTTAAATTCAGAATTTTTGTGTGCATTTATTTCAATTGTTTTATTAGACACTGACAATTTTAGATACCTACAAAAAAGTAATAGTTTAGTGGGGTAAATTCATGTAATACGTCCTCTACATTGGTTGGAATCTCTGCAAAATATGTGCAAAAAGAAATTTAGTTTATCTTTTGTTGCACTGTTAAAATCTGACACCTAATAAACTTATTAGGAAGGGAACATTTTAGTTTTGCATAATAAATGGTGCCAGAATAAAAGCGTCTAATTTTTTTAAAATAAATATATTTCTTTAAATTCATAGAAACTTTTCTTAAAAAATATATTTTTGTTTTCATGTCAAAAAATAAATATGATTACAAACAACTAACCATTTATTTTAGCCCATTTTTAAAATTGGAAAGGGAAAATGTCTTTCTTGTAAAGCCAGGTCCAAAGTGTGTAATTGCTAAGCTAAATGTTCTCTGGTTGTTCTGATTAAAAAGAATAATCTTTGCCGAACATAAAGTGTCAAAATTTACTTGAAAATAAGCCTGACTTATTTTTGTCATCGGGCATGATTACCTCAACTGATATCCTTTCCCTTCTCTCCTCCTTAGTTTAAATATAAACGTAGCTTTCCATTCATTGTTTAATATCTGTCACTGTTCTGATGGGCCTGTAGCAGCAACAAGGCATGCAGTTTAAAATCTCATATCGTGCTGCTACAGAAATTAAAATCATATCAACTTTGCAATGTGTGATTTTAAAAAGCACAAAGCATATACCATGCTTCAGATAAACATTTTTATTCTGTGTATGAAAATAAAGCATTTTTGCTTAAATTTTTTCACTACAGTTAAAGCAAAATTTTTAACCGTAGCTTTTTAACAATTAAGAGGATGTTAAAAAAGGCTATGAAGCCAAGAGTGGCAAATATTTCAGTTTTACTCTGATGCAACAAAATTTGTTTATCTTAAGGCCTTTTACACATTTTATCATAGGTTTTCATAATTATTAAGGGTATTAAACAAATTACTTAAATACAAACAGGAAGGATTTAATACAATGTTTTCCATATGATCTGCAAATAGGAAAAATTAGCCCTTAACCTTCTGTTTCACAAACGGAAAAAAAAAATCTGAAGAAATAAAATTTCTTTCAGGTTTGCTAAAAGAAGCTCTGGCCGAGCTGAAGCAACCGCTTCTTGTTTAAGCTACAGAAACAGCTAAAAAGTAAAGAACCTCATTCAATATTTCCATATCTGAGTAGATTTAATATATGCAATAAAGCAGCTTTGTGCCGTGTTTCTTGTTTTCTGTGAGACTGTGTAAGTAAAGGACATAAAGTGAGACTTTTACATTGCCGCTGTAAATAGCCCTTGATCCATCTATCTTGCAGAATGAGATGGCTTTGTGTCTCCTGGTTTCCTGGCTGGAGGATCATCATTACTCACAACCTGTCAGCGTTTCTGGGAAATATCCGTAGTAACAGATACCTGGAGAAGTCAATGGATCATCTTCTACAGAGGATGGGGATGAAAAGAAAGGCTGGAACAGAAACAGAACAAAAGTTGGGAAACACGTCTGTGAGTCTTGATACCGATATTGAAGATGGACATTTACCCCAGGTGTTTGTCTTTTTCTAAAGAACAAATCAAGGGATGAATATTTCTTCTTTTATTTTGAAAAATTTAACTACTTAGCTGTCCAGACACCATTTTTTCCTTAAATTAGATGTAAATCTGTGAACAAAATGAGATTCAAGAGAAAATGATCTTATTTTAACAAAAAAAAACAACCCTTTAGTGTAATATAGATCTTCCAATCAGTGAACTGATCCTTATTAAGACTGTTTAACTATCCCTTTCATAGAGACTCACCCACATCTGCAGGAAGATTGTTGCTTCTCACAGACTGGCTGTTTAAATCTCTGTCAACCTGACATAGTGCAGGTTTTCAGCTCTGTCCTCATCCCCCTGAATGACTGAGCAAGCAACAGACTGTGACCTGATTTGTATCCCAAGAGCACAGGGATATATGTTGTTTGCCGTTATGTTTAAACCAATTAGCTGCCAAATCATACAGATTTTCTTGTAATATAACACATGGGTAACTTTTTAGTATAAAGATAGTGAGAATTTGACAAAGTTTATTCATGATTTATAGTTCCCACTTTTATTAAACTCTCTTCATTTTTAATCTAAAGGCTGAACTTTTGTCGCCTTGGACCAGCAAACCTCACAATGTTTCATTGGAAAAACAACAAAGTGGATATCAATTAAAATGTTTTTCAAGTCTTTTTAACATGTGAAGTGTTCCATGCACTGTATTTTTCATTTAAATTCCTGAGTGACCTGGATGGTAATTAGGCCACTATTCAGTGATAAACTACAGGTGCTGGTCATAAAATTAGAATATCATGAAAAAGTAGATTGATTTCAGTAATTCCATTTAAAAAGTGAAACTTGTATATTATATTCATACATTACATACAAACTCATATATTTCAGATGTTTATTTTGTTTAATTTTGATGATTACAAATGACAACAAATGAAAATCTCAAATTCATCATATCAGAAAATTAGAATATTGTGAAAAGGTTCAAAATTGATGGCCCCTGGTGCCACACTCTAATCAGCTAATTAACTCAAACCACCTGCAAAAGCCTTTAAATGGTCTTTCAGTCTAGTTCTATAGGCTACACAATCATGGGGAAGACTGCTGACTTGACAGTTGTCCAAAAGACGACCATCGACACCTTGCACAAGGAGGGCAAGACACAAAAGGTCATCGCTAAAGAGGCTGGCTGTTCACAGAGCTCAGTGTCCAAGCACATTAATAGAGAGGCGAAGGGAAGGAAAAGATGTGGTCGAAAAAAGTGTACAAGCAAGAGAGATAACCGCACCCTGGAGAGGATTGTGAAACAGAACCCATTCAAAAATGTGGGGGAGATTCACAAAGAGTGGACTGCAGCTGGAGTGAGTGCTTCAAGAACCACCACACACAGACGTATGAAAGACATGGGTTTCTGCTGTCGCATTCCTTGTGTCAAGCCACTCTTGAACCACAGACAGCGTCAGAAGCGTCTTGCCTGGGCTAAAGAGAAACAGGACTGGACTGCTGGTGAGTGGTCCAAAGTCATGTTCTCTGATGAAAGTAAATTTTGCATTTCCTTTGGAAATCAAGGTCCCAGAGTCTGGAGGAAAAGAAGAGAGGCGCTTCATCCACGTTGCTTGAAGTCCAGTGTAAAGTTTCCACAGTCAGTGATGGTTTGGGGTGCCATGTCATCTGCTGGTGTTGGTCCATTGTGTTTTCTGAGGTCCAGGGTCAACGCAGCCACATACCAGGAAGTTTTAGAGCACTTCATGCTTCCTGCAGCTGACCAACTTTTTGGAGATGCAGATTTCATTTTCCAACAGGACTTGGCACCTGCACACAGTGCCAAAGCTACCAGTACCTGGTTGAAGGACCATGGTATCCCTGTTCTTAATTGGCCAGCAAACTCTCCTGACCTTAACCCCATAGAAAATCTATGGGGTATTGTGAAGAAGAAGATGCAATACACCAGACCCAACAATTCAGAAGAGCTAAAAGCCACTATTAGAGCAACCTGGGCTATCATAACACCTGAGCAGTGCCACAGACTGATCGACTCCATGCCACGCCGCATTGCTGCAGTAATACAGGCCAAAGGAGGCCCAACTAAATACTGAGTGCTGTACATGCTCATACTTTTCATGTTCATACTTTTCAGTTGGCCAACATTTCTATAAATCCTTTGTTTTTATTGGTCTTCAGTAATATTCTAATTTTCTGATATGATGAATTTGAGATTTTCATTTGTAATCATCAAAATTAAAAAAATAAACATCTGAAATATATGAGTTTGTATGTAATGTATGAATATAATATACAAGTTTCCCTTTTTAAATGGAATTACTGAAATCAATCTACTTTTTCATGATATTCTAATTTTATGACCAGCACCTGTATTTCATTGCAGCTCAGGATGGGTGGAATGTTGTCCTGCAGGAACGGGAACATCTACCACTCTGGGTGGGTGGAAAGTTTTCCTGCAGGAACGGAAACATCTACCACAGTTTTAAGCCTTTTTCAGCTTCTAACTGCAATTTTTAGACAGATCCCTGAGTATGGTATTTTTTTCATTTTATATTTTAACTCCATACTGTATATCTTAGAGACATGGCCAGGATGCTGCTACTTCATTTTCTTTTGAAATATGATGAGTTCAAGATCATGTACAGTGTAGGTTTTTCACTATCCACAGTGTTTCTGTTTTTAGTCTCACCTAGTTTATCTCTTCTTCCAAATGTTTAGCTGTCACTTAAGTCAAACTACATACTAGACTTCTTCTTTCTCTCAGTAACAGTTTTATTTCTGAACCTTTTCATACAAGCAGCTTTTACGGAGTGCATATCGGACAGTTTTTCTGTAGACAGACACTCCAGGCTGAGTTGTGGTGCTACGCAGCGCTTCCACAGTTACAATTGTCCTCTTGGTTGCCTTTCTACTGTGGTTCGAAACAATAATAGCACTTAAAAACATTCTTTCCATTTGCAATGTAAGAACCCATTATCATTTTTATTTTTCTATAAATTCACAAACTCTTTTATACACAAAGACTTTCATCACCACTGAAAAGACAAAAACAATTTGTGAAAAAGGTGAAGTAGAAACATGGATAAAATCCTACCCTGTTTCTTTCTACATTTATTTTATATCAGAGTTATAAAAAAGACTTGGCAATAGTCCCGAAAACTGTTTTCATATGGCACTTTTGATAATATTAAAAATAAGAAATCATATCAACTCACAGGAACTGATAAAGAAATCATGAAACAAAACAAAAACAGCGGAATACTGCAACCCTACAGTCATCCATCCTTGCATTTTAAAATCGGACGGATTACAGTAACCTAGATATATTACTTTGAAAGATAATTTCATCCCCACTTGAAGTAATACACTTAAACCCTGTTATGCAATTATATGATGACACATTCTCCTCAAAAATCATACTGTTAATTTAAAAACAAAGGGAAGAACTGCATATTCACATACGTTTTAACCCAGACTCACAATTATTTGTTCTAATAAGACACTAGAGTACCGATTACCTGAGTATAAAGCTGAGGTCAGCAGTTTTTCTGTTCCCTCCTACAGTTAGCGTGGTAGTTCAGGATTAAGAGATTATGATGACATTTTTGTCCTCAGTAAAGTCTATAAGAAGTTTTATGTAAACATGGCAGAATCATTAATTTGATGAGAGTATCCTGAGGTATAGACTACAGTATCTGTAACTGGCTATATATTAGTGCAGTTCTTATGTTTGTTCATGTATAAGAAAGAGAAGAAAAACGTTGGAGTGGAATTTGTTCTGGCTTGTGCAGGTACTACTCTGCTCCATTCCTGTAGTGCATGACGTAGTAGTCGTGGACGTACATCAAGACAGCGAACGGCTGGCCGATGATGATTGACATCCACACTGCAGCGTTGCCGTAGTTACCTCGCAGGAATTTGCCAACAAACCAGGCTAATGGAAGCTGAGGAGGAGCCAAAAAAAATGTTTTAGTGAGCCACAATTACAGTTTCATGGTTTTCATTTAGCTGATTGGTTTGTAGGGCTACAATCATATAAAATGTATAAATCACTGAGCTAATAATTGACATTCCAGATTTCCTTCATAATTTACCAAAACCATTCATTCCTGTCAGACACTGTTTAGTACAGTTAAAAAAGAAGTAAGCAACTAAAACTTATCAGGCTCCTAATTACATATTTGGTCACTTAGTTAGAGCCTAGTCTGAAATTAAAAGCTACTAACTTTTATTAAGTTCAGAATAGGGCTGCAACTAACGATTATTTTAAAAATCGATGAATCGGACGATTATTTTTTCGATTAATCGATGAATCGGACAAAAAATATTTTTTATATTAACCTCTTTATTCCAAAATAAACATTTTAGACAGAACAAACAAGCACACAAGTACAGGTTGCTCATTAACTGTACTGGTGCAATATGAAAAATAAATGTTTGTGTAAAAACTACGCAAACTTACATGAGAAATGTAGCTGTACATCCACAAAATATAGGGTACTTTGTTTCATAAAGCGCAAAAAAAGACATTTTTGTTTTTAAAAGCCCCTAAGGGGTTCAAACAATAGGCCCCCCCATTTCAACAAATGAGTTTTTTTAGACTAGAAGAGTTCTGCCTTTTAAGAAAGGAAAGTATAGCAGTTAAAGTTGCTACTTGAGAAAATACTGAACCATAGAGATAAAAATAGCCCTGTGATTCAAATTATAAATTGTATTTGGAATAAAAATGAGAGAACTACGGGTGCTAAAAAACACATCCTCCAAAGACAGATATTTACATGGGAATGTGGCAGATAATTAATTGACATATTACTGATCTTGCTGGATTTTATTCTGCTTTACTTCCATAAATTGCAGGATCTTCTTTACTTTATCTTCGCCAGAAGATTTAAACTTTAAAAGCCTTGCCCTCATAATTTGCAAGTTAATTTATTTATAAAGTAAATGTAAACGCTGCTTAAGCTAATTCAAATGAAATTAAAAGTAAAATAAGTAGCCAACCTTATCACTGTCTGTAACCTACTAACACGGTAAGGAAAGCATCAGATGAGCTACCTGAGAAACTAACGTTACGTTTCCCCACTTTAAAACCAAACAAACATGGTGGTTCCGTGCCATGTTAATTTCTTTTGAAAAAAGTTGCATGTTATCACTTTTTTCGCTTTACAAAGCGCAGGCTATTTTAATTATTGTGATCAATTTGCGCCGTCAATCCCGGTGCATGCGCGCTTCATTTGCAGTCTGGACGCTGAGGCTCTGACTGCAGCGCTGAGAGGGACTCCTGCGGGAGCGGGGGGAGGCGCCCCACGGCAGAGTAGGAACGATACATGCTTTCACGTAAGAGTCTCCAAAAGCCGCCAGTGAAACCGAAAAAAGTCGCCAGATTTGTCGCTAGTCGCTTTTTTGAAAAATAGTCGCTGGAGGGGTCTGAAAAGTCGCTGAGTTGGCAACACTGCTCCTGCGGCGCTGACTCGCTCTGCCATATTTTTTTTTCTTCCTCTTTCATTCAAGAGGCAGTGATGACGGCGCGGCAGATGACGCAATAATCGCGCGACACAACTAATCGATGATGAAATTCGTTGCCAACGCTTTTAAAAGTCGATTTTTATCGATTTTATCGATTCGTTGTTGCAGCCCTAGTTCAGAAATAAAGGTCTTAGACTATAAAAACAAAAGGTTAACACAGATTTAATACTGTCCTTAAAATGCAACAATTGGTAACAGGTAGTTTGTTTTCGTTTCTTTCATTTTGATTCCTAGCAAAAAACAACAACAACAAAATAACAAAACAAAAAAATACAAATGAACAAATAAATCCACCAAAATAAATTTGTTTAATTCTTCAAGTAAGGTAAAACCAACACTGTGTCCAAGTTAAATAAATGCTGCTATTGCATTATTAGACTAACACTATTTCAAGTAATTATAAAGATATCATTAATAATAATAATAATAATAATATCACAAATCTAGACAATTTGTCAAACTTATTGCAATGCTTAGAGGCAAGTAGATATCTTATAAAAGCCAATTAATCAGGCTATAAACATTTATATTTGTGCTTTTATTGTAACACGGTATAATTTACATTTAGTGTTTGGAGTTAATTGACATCATGATTTCTATTCATACTGGTTAAAGTAATTAACAAAATATTTTGTCATAAAAATGATAAATGACAATAACAAATGACAGTACTTAAATGATAATCAACCATCCCCAATAACAATAATAATAAATCTGATGATAACAATCACCCATGGGAGATTCTACCACCTTTTAAATAAATGGAATCATGTTTGTACTGTAATGAATAATATTGCAGCTGGACTCCGGCAGCAGTTAAAAAGAGTATCATGAACTTTTCTTGACTGTAACACGACAATAAAATAATTAATACTATACTGACATTGGCTTAAAGGAATAGTACACCCAAAACATGATTAGCCTTCATTTTCTACTCACCCCCATGCTGAACAACACTCTGGAGTACTTTTTTGACATCTCAAATGCATCTGGAGATCTGGGAGGCTTCTTGCTGTCTGCTGACATTCAAATAATGGAGGTCTATGGTGCCCGAGGCAGAAAGGTCCATAAAAGTCCACAAAAAACGTGTCAATATTCCTCCATACTGCTCGTCCAATGTATTCCAAGTGTCCTGAGTGGGTAGCATCCAGAATTTACTCGAAACGAAGTCATTTAGAATGTTTTTAGAGCATAAACAGTAGTGTATAGGATTTCCTAAAAGCGCGTTCACGAGTCTACGGAAACCGCGGCAGACCAAACCAGACGAAAGTGCGCATTCAGATAATGCAAGCGTAGAAGAAGAAATGTGCTGTTTACCTGTGCAAAGAAAGAAACAACGAAAGAAAAATGTCTGAGGACTTCAGTGTTGAGGAAGAGCAGGAGTTCTTTGCCGAGCTGAATGCGCACTTTCGTCTGGTTTGGTCTGCTGCGGTTTCCGTAGACTCGTGAACTCGCAGGCGCGCGCTTTTAGGAAATACTATACACTACTGTTTATGCTCTAAAAACATTCTAAATGACTTCGCTTTGAGTAAATTCTGGACGCTACCCACTCAGGACACTTGGAATACATTGGACGAGCAGTATGGAGGAATATTGACACGTTTTTGTGGACTTTTATGGACCTTTCTGCCTCGGGCACCGTAGACCTCCATTATTTGAATGTCAGCAGACAGCAAGAAGCCTCCCAGATCTCCAGATGCATTTGAGATATCAAAAAAGTACTCCAGAGTGTTGTTCAGCATGGGGGTGAGTAGAAAATGAAGGCTAATCATGTTTTGGGTGTACTATTCCTTTAAACATATCTGTCTCTCTTTAATTCTCAAAACAAATGACAATGAACAAAGATTTGTGTCCTTTGCAACCTTTGCTTTGGGGTACAATTATGAATGATGTGTGGTTTCTCACCTGTGCCATCATTCCCGTGAAGGCCCACAGTCTGAACATCCTGAGAGGAACACTCACCAGGTACTAATGCAGGAACCGACAGGGAACAAAAATCCATGACATGGCATTTCACTGTCAGCAGAAGGTGGCATCTAGAATAATGGTCTTACCTCGTGGAAGAACGCAGAGAGAAAGAAGACAGCTGACTGGCTGACTATTTTACTGAATCCTTTCCTTAGCAGAGGTTTGTAGAAATGACTAACAGACGGTGAAACAGATACAGAGATAAATTAACATCCAGAGGTAATTGTAAGGACAAATGACAGAAAACACTAACACCTGCTTAGAAAGTGAAACATATTTGATGCATTCTTTATTTAATGAATCCCACTGACTCCCTACATGATTCCGTAGGAGAATCCAGAGACTGATCTACATCTATGCTAAAATCTTTGCCAGAAAAATGTCAGTCTTAAGGTCTGTGCCTGCATGTTTACATCTATTTCAGCTAGAATGTGTTTCAGTGAGTAGATGATTTACCGTAGACACCACTTGTGTACAGGGATGTTCCAGTTCTGCCAAAAATAAGTCACCGTCTCTGAATTCCTGAAGGGAACAATTAAATATTAAAAGACAGCAACAGGTTAAGTCCATCATTATATAAACTAAGGAAAAAGAAGAAAAAAAATCAATAGTGTTATTAAGATAAAGATTAAATAAATAAATGGATTGGCCGGTTTTAAAGTTTAACCAGCTATTTAGAAATGTAATATTTCAAGCCTTTTCCAAAACCATAACTAAGCTTCAATGGGTTCTAGAAATCACAAAACCTCTCAGGCCGAATGTTGTTTCTGAGAGAGGGAAACTAAAACTATTGATACGTTGGTGATTTACAAAGATTCGCTATCCGTCAAATCTTCAATAACAAATTCTTAGTATTTAACCACAGTTCATAAAAAAGAATCAGGCTTAGTGTCATACTAGCAACTAATACTTAGAAATAGTCGCTAAAGGAGGATAAAGCCAGTAAAATAAAGATCTGAATTTGGATTTTTACCCTAAAGTAACTGTCAAATACTTTTCCCCAGTACCATAGAGCTAACTGTGCTCTTGATTCTTCTTTAGCCTCATTTTTTCTACTGGATGACTGATATCTAATGAAACAAGACATAATGGCACTTTAGTAATTTATATGTCGAACAATTAAAGGCATCAGATGGAGCTTGAGAGAAGTGTGCAACGGTACCAAATACCAACTATTTATTCTGGTCAACAGTTTAATCTAAGGCTATAGTGGGATGATATCCCTAATCTCCAAACAGTATGTGGTGCAGGTAACCCAGTGTGGCGTGAACACTACACCCAAACTGAACCTTGTCAGGACTGCAGGTAGGCTCTTATATTGTCTCTTTGCACTTCTGGAGCCAGTTTGTGATGTCCTGCAAGGTACTTAGTTTATCTAAAGCCCTAGAAAAGTAAATTAAGAGATAAAATGGGATGATGTCCCATATAATTGCATACCTTCACCAAAAGTTTGTTGATATTGGTAGAGAGGATTTGGCATGGTTTAAAACCTCAAAATCTTATTTGTGCTGAAAAATTTAGTTAGTTTCCCCTTTTTGAGGAGATAAACAGATTTTCCAATAGTATGAGATTCAAGACAATGCCTTTGACAAAAAAAAAAAGTTTATTTTAATTTAAATAAAAAACGAAAACACAAGGGTTAGTGCTTGCAAAAGAGAATAAAAACATCATTATTTTTTTATTTATATAATATTGAAATGTTAATTTTGAAGTGTAAATTGCTAAGCTTGCTTTCCCAGGATTTGGGCCTATACCGCAGCACAAACAGCACCTCAGTGCACAACTAACGCTCCCAGTCATTGATATGCAGCTTGAAGGATCCATTAAGTTCAGTGATAATACACAGACACATATAAACCTACCACCAGTCGTTGTAAAACTGCCTGTCTCCAAACCGCAGCAGCTCGGCTGTAAAATTCATAGACGAGTGGAAGAACCAGTAGAAAAACATCAACCATAACAAGTGATTCGGCACCTAAAAGACGAGGTTTAATAGTCAGACGTAAAAACATTGCTATACACGCGTTTACTCATAGACTATTCCTAATTAGTATATTTCACAAATATTACAGACTACAAAAAAAAATCTCCAAAGTTTTACAACTTTAATGTAGCCATACAATTGCTTTACTTACAGCTAATCGTAACAGCCTCTCAGTCATCAGTGAAAGATCCATGTCCTGGAGGAGATTTAAAAACAGATTTCAAATGTTGAAAATATGAGCAACAGTGCTTAAAACATGCGATTCTGCTTCCTTACTTCAAGGGGCTTCATTGAGCTCTGGATGATCGGGATCATCCACTGTCAAGAAGATAAAAACATACATTTTACACATGTTTCAAATGTATCACATTTTGAATATAAAATATATCTTTAAAGGGTTCTAATGTATAAAAAAAGAAAGAAAGAAATCCAATCAAAGCACTGTACGTGAGGTAACAAAGCTTGTGCTTTAGTTTAAAAGAGATTTCAAATGATCTGACATTAAAAAAAAAAAGAAAAAAGAAAATTAATATTAAACTGTACCTGTTGGGTGAGAGCAACTAAAAGCTGGATGAAAAACAGCTGGAGAGAGAGACATTTTTCCACTGATTAACATGATCTGTTAAATGACAGATAAATGTGGCATAGGAAACACATAAAAATAAATTAAAATCTGGAGGAACTCTAGGAATACAGCTTTTTCCTAACTTAATTTTTTTATAATTCAATTAATCAATCCTGGAAAAAATAAATTAAAGAGTATATTTCTTCACATTTTTCAAATCTGAGCAGGAGTCCTTAACATACGTCTTGACCCAAGCATTAGGTTTAGAAATTCAACAATCTTATATGAGAGGCAGAAAAGTCATTAAAAATTCAATCCACATTTAAGAGACCGTTGTGCCATGTTTACTTGTCTACCACTGTTGTCTTTTGCACAGTGCATTTATCCAGCACTCTTTCAAAAAAATAATGTAGCTAAGTGACATTTTTTTCTCACCATCTCAAACAGCCTCCTCAGAAGGAAGTGAATGCGAACTTTAGGAGATCGAGGAAAGTTTAGCTCGTAACAGAGAGTTGGAGCAAACACAAAGTAGTACATATCTGTGAAAGTAGAGTGGGGGGCAGAGAATGAGACTAATGGACACAGGCATTCAACAGGAAAATGGAGGTGTTTTTTTTTTTTTTTTTTCATTACCTTTGATTGTAAGGTTGCCAGGGTAACATACTTTCTGTGCGGCTGCTTTAAAGTGCTGCGGTGAAGGACCTGTACCAGACAATCAGAGAGTTCAGGTTGGGGGTCTGCATTTAGCAGCTCAAGAGCCAAATATGGAATGTTATAATTGAGAAATAAAGTTACAGAATTCAGACATTAGAAAAATACAAAATTATTTTTTTTTTTTTTAACAATTCCTCTGTAGGTTTTCATACATCATCTATAAAGAACTTCTAAAGTGGAATGATACCGTTAAAAGAGGTTGCCATCAGTCCTTCTATGCCCTCACTGCCCTCATATTTATAAATATAGTGGGGTAAAAAAGGCTCATAACATAAAATAGTTATATTTGTACCTTGCTTAAACTTTATTTGTTCGTTTTTTCAACAATTAAATAAAGAGAAAGGAAATTATATTCTTTAATATTCTATAATAAAAGAAAAGTGTTATTTAGCATTATGACTGAGCAGAATCACATAATATAGAACATATCTTGATTAAAAAGTTAATTTTGCAGGATGCATTTAATTATGCCGTGGCATTAAAGAAATAGATGATTTGTCAAATTCCTAAAAATAGAGGAAAAATTATTTTTATTTGTTGATGGTTATTAATGTTAAATACTGATATAATTTGGATTTAACAAAATTTTAAATTAAACATTTTTGGAGCTACATCAGCCAATGTAATAGGTGTATTAACCCAGCCTATCCAACAACTGGTGTCTTTTATCATTAAATAAATATTGGTTATAAAAAGGCCCAAGAATTGTTTTATCATTTTGAACTTCATCACAATACATGCCAAAAACCTACAGCAACTAGGTGTTTTGAAAAAGGGTCAAAAACACATTTCTGTATTAAAATGCTATTTTGCTATTATTCAATTGTAACTTTTCTTGTTTAAAATGCTGTTTTAATTATCTGCAAGCATAAAATCATTGTAATTCATTAAAATTACGTCTTAAACATACCAGTATGATTAATTAAAATGTGACTTTATAATTGATCAAAAAGCTGCAGATATACTGTCTACCAGTAGGTGTCCCTGCAACATTATGAGCCATTGCAATGATTTGAGAAGTGGCTAAAATTTGATCCATATCTGTACTAATGATACAATTATGTTATCATATTACAGTAATCTGACTTCATGAATCCATAAGATGCACAGGTTGCTTGTATATGTTTGACTTACAGGACAGTGACCGGGCCAGCTTCTTGGCCTTCACAGAGCTCAGCTCCCTGCACCACAGGTTCACGTCTTTATATGAATACAGCTTCAGGAACAGGATTGTGCAAATGCCGAGTGCAAATGCACCACCAACTGACAGGAAGGGCAGAAAAGAAGAAGTGTCAGTTAACAAAGTGACCCTCTTGAGACAGCAGCAGCAGAGACGCCTCATGTGTTTACTGATGGTCTAGGTGTGGACGGGATAAAGACAGACGGAGACAGAAAAAGTCTGTCGTGGCAAGAGAATGAATAAAAACATAAAGGAGGCAGGAAATAAGTTATCATATGACTTCAAGTTGTGTTTTCTGTTTACAGAGTTGAAAGGGATTTGAAGGTAGCTCAACACCAGCTGAGCGGTTTTCATACCAAAGCTTTATCAATAGCCACCATACCCTTTGTAAAATGAGACTACACTAAACACAGAAGAAACAGACACTCGGATGCACCCAGAATCACACAAATAAATACAGCCATAATGTGCCAGCAGAGAGATGAGGAGGTCTGCAGTACACCTGGCACCTAACTACAGCAGATCTTATCCATTAACCATCTGCCTCTCCTGCTCAGTGTGGTCTCTAAACAGTGAGACCGTGTCCAAATCGGCAACTGTAGATTGCGATCATGGGCGCACAGCGGGGACAAAGCTGAAATGGGAAAACATGCCAGTGGAGCCAGTAGTTTGTCTTTCACAGTCATCCACTCAAATCAGGACTAAAGAGGTTCACAATCCTGTTTTTGGTTTTAAAAGCAGAAATTCAAAGAATAAACAAAGAATTAAAAAACTTCAATCCTACTCCATCATTATGTATTTTAATCTATCCTCTTTTAGTAGGATATATGAGGCAGCTGAAAGACTTCCTTCAGACACAGATATTCCATCAAACTTAATGAGTTATACACCATTAATAAACACTTTAATAAATTCCTTAATTCCAGCTTGTTTATTTTCATTGCACTAACACAAGGACAGAGCAACAAAATTATCTTTCAGCATGTAACCCATCCCTTTGGTGAGCAGCGTGCTGCCATTGTGCTGCACCCAGGAAGCAGTTCGGGTTAAGAGTCTTTGCTCAGGGACCCTGAGTCGCAGTTTGTGGAAGAGGGACTCAAACTCAGAACCTAAGGATTCCAAGCTCTATGCCCTAACCACTAGACCCCCACTCGCCTTAATGTTAATATGTCAGATTTTCACAGTTAAGTGAATCTTAATAAACTAAGCACAACTGAGATTTTTATGGATTTGTTCCATACTTAATAACATTACATTACTTATATAGGATGCAAAGGCAAAAATGCTTCAAACTGCATTTTTCTGTGCTGACATAGTTTTTCTCATTTATCTATATAGATGCATGTTAGACGGTTGAGTGAGAATGAGAAGTTGCCGACTTAAGCTAAATTTAAAATATCTGTAAATAGGTACAGGTATCTGAAAATATATTTTTGCTAATAATTTGCCTATTTTTTCTAAAAACAAAAAAGGCCAAACCAAGTTCTGACATGGTGAAGCTAAGAAAGTAGCCTATAAGGGTAAGTAGCACTAAACAACTGTAGGTACTATGTTTGTGTGAAATGTTATAAAATAAAAAATAAAAACTATTTAAATAAACTGAATCTTTGCTATGAAAAGTTTAAAGGATAAATTAAAAAACAAAAGTAGATTTATTGTGATAACAGAACCATACTAAAAAAAAGGGACTAAAGGTTTACCAAACCCAAACCTTGTCTGGACAGTGCAGCATTAGATTAAATTACTTTACCAAATAATTTGAATTTTAGAACCCCACTTAATTTTATACATTTCATTGCAACATGTTCAGAATAGATTCAGGGTCAATCTATCACAGCTACAAATCAAATGATGTATGGCTAAAGTATCAAAGGTGATCCTGGAGTGTTGTCTATTTAGGCCAAACCAAACCTACTGTAGGCTTGGTTTGGCCTAAATACTCTGACAGGGACATGTTTGGTTGTGCCTAAAGAAGTTATGTCACATTCACTTTTACTTTTCTGGCTATCCAGTGATATTGACAATGTAGAGTTTTACAATTTCTTAGAAACTGTCACACTTATCCTCATTTTCTTCACATTTTTTTAAAAGGCCCTTTGAGGTCATCATGTAAACAGATCAAAGTCTCTAAAACACAATATCACCTAAACACACAAATATCTGCACATACACTTGCCCTCTGCCATTGCCCTTCCTGTGTGCACAGCAGCAGCAGAGACAGGAGGGCTTAAAGACAGATGGAACAACTCCCTCGCTCCTTCACCTCCCAGGGAGAGAACAGATGAGAGGAAAAACAGAAGAGAACGACACCCAAAGCAGCAAACAAAGTCTTAAACAACTAATTGAAAATTGAAATAAATATATTTATGGCATCAATGCTAATACTTCATGTCACAGGTGTGTTTTTTTACGGATAAAGAGTTGTGAGTTTAAACAGAATGGAAATTTCCAGCCATCAACTGCCAGATTAAAGTTTGCAAACACAAAGAGACAAAGACCATATTTTTGGAAAATAATATCCTGTATACTGATTAACTTAACATTGTATTCTATAATGACTACTGGTCTCATTTAGAGGTAAAATGGCGAGGCTTGTCTGAATGCATCCTCCCAACTATGAAAGACGGGTGACAGCATAATGATTTTTAAGTGTTAAGAAAATGATTTCCATTACATGTTTTTGTAAATATCTGCTTTCAATTCAGATTTTACTTATACAACATGCACTGTTATAATAGCAGACCTTCACATTTGCAAATAAATAAATAAATACAAATTTTATGTGAGTGACCATCCAATCTGTAGAACAAGTACACTGGTCCCCAGTTTTCCATTGGGACTGCTTAGCTCATGGAAAACAGCCATTTTTCCTGCCAAGCTGCCTGATTAAGACAGACTCAAAGACCCTTGGATGACCCTACAAAATAAAACCACACCCACTTTGGCAGCTTTTCTGTTCCCTCCTCATCTTTTCTCTCCTTCCATTTCATTTCCGTTCACCATCTTCACCACTTGACATCCCTCTCTCTTTAGAGCCAACTGGAAGCAGTCCAGTCATGACCAACTAGACCATTACTGCTGACCGACTCCAATAATGACTTGGTCCAAGACGTACCCTTTAATATGCTATTAAATGGTTAAGTGTTTCTGTGAGAGGGTGAAGTTATCACTTCATTTACTTCTATATACTACAATAACATGCATGCAAGATTGGTTTTATAATATATATATGTTTGGTAATGCTTTGTGTTATTCAAGGAATAGTGAGCAACAATTACCTGGAGTAATAGAGGGAACCAGAAGCACCACAACTGCAGGAAATGTTAGCAGGATGAACAAGTTAATGAAGTGGATCACAAATCCAGTGAATTCACTGAATGAACCCTGGTTAAAAAAGAGAGAAAAAAAACATAGGAGCTTTTACTTTAAATACTTAAAGCATTTATTCATTGTTCCATTTTCAACCACTGCTCAAGAGAAACTGCCTTAGACTTCTAACTTTTGTTGTTGCCATTATTTTGGAAGGTAGAGCAAGACAAGTTGGATTCTCTCATGTATCTTAAACATATACTGACATGCAAGGTTAAGTCAGGCATCTTGTTTTCTAAAAAACTTCTTATGAGAAAAGCAAAAGGCTGACAAGCTCTTTCCAGTTAAATCTTACAAAACTCTCTGATGTTCAGAAGCAAAGAAAGTTTCTACACTCACCTTTGACAGCTGCCTTTCAGTATAGAGAGCCACAAAAATGAACACATTGCACACTGTGAAGAAATGAAGAGAATACTATAATTAAAGCTGTTAAATAACTTTAGACCAGTAGAAACTCAAGCATGTTGGTTTAAAACTAAATTGTAGTCAAAATGTTCAATTTTTCCGAAGTAATGTAACATATATTTATACAGACTAATCCAAATCAGTAATAATTAACTTACAATAGATTCTTAGAAAACAGACACTAAAATAAATAACTGCCTTTCTTACCAAAGGCAAATAAAATTTACCAATTTTTCTACAACATGTGTTACTAAGAGAGCGAAATCTAATCCAGATTAAATAAATCAGCAGCTTCAATGCAGACAGGTGGGGAAGAAGTTTCCAGTTTTTGCCAGCAGGGGGTGATGGATAGTTGTTTGAATCAAAGTGCGTTGCATTGATGCAGTAATCTCTGACAAATACAAATTAAGCTAGTCAAAGTTCTGAAACCTCCTTCATTATAATTTTTACTTACATGTTTTAAGCCCAGAGTGACAAAAATACACAGTTTCCACATTAGATGAGTCAAGCAATTTTTTTTTCTTTTTGCAATTTTTCCAATCCAATGTAAAAAGCAGATAGAATTGTTTGTAATAGATCACTTACACATTACTAATGGTAACTGGTAATTACTCTTTCTCTCTTGATTCCTACACTATACTGATTATGACTCAGTATTTCAATCATTCAAAAAAAAAGGTACAAAGCCCTGTAAAAAAAATCACCAACAAAAACAAACTAAAATGTGATTTTACAAAGTAAAATGTGCACATTGCACAAAGGCCATGCTTAGAAAGAAGGAAAGCAAAGCAATGACTTCCTGAGACGTGCCGATTATACAGGTGGATCTAATCAGTTTAAACAATTATCCAATCAAGTTAAGAGCTGTCCCAAATAGCTGCTATTATACAAATGACAGGTGATTGTAGCTGGCCTAGGCTTTGAATAATAAAACGCTCTAGTGCCATCTGGTGCTAAAAAAAGAAGTCACTCAAACAACATGTTTAGAAACTGATGGATCTCTGAGAGGTCACTAAAGAAATGCACAGTAGATTAAAAAAAAGGCAGACTTGATTACAACAGCAGATGTTACATTCTGAGGAAAAAAGATCTAGGAACCCAATGCCAAAAGGTGTAGTAAAAGAATGTAGAAATATAGTCGTAATACCCTAACACAGGAGCCAAGAATTTAAAGCTTGAAGATAAATTGGTCCTCCAAATAGACAGTGGTCCTAAGCATAGTGCCAAACCACGTATAAAGAAGTGTTATACATTAAAGCAACAGTGCATAACCTTCGACCCCATATTTAGCTTAATTTGAGATTTAGCTAATAATTTTTTAGGTCAATATACAGCACTTGGTACATATCATTGATATGGGCGTAGCCAGAAAATCCTAATAAGGGTGGCCAGTCAATAACCAATGTACATTGAGGGGAGGCCGAAAGGCACCAGAACCTCAGGGTCAATCTACACTCTTCCAACAGGAACGAGCACGACATCCACATTTTCTAAATAAAGACAAACGGTCCTTTCCTGCAGCCTTTGCTAACAAATAGATGCATATATTTAAACATCTATGCTGTGTAAATAAAAGGTATATTGGAAAAAATTCTTTCAGGTTTGAGTTCTGGGGCGAACACATTGTCATTACCTACTTTTATCAATAATCATTTTGCAAAAAAAGTTATCTATGATTTCACTGAAGACTTCTAGATGACTTGCAGAGGCACATAATTTAATCTTTACCCCAAATAATTCAAAATTTAGTTCTGAAAAGAACATGAATTCTGTATCTATCATCTTTAATGTTTTTATATTGATGTGCATAATTAACCGCAGTTTTTCTGTTGTCAAGTAGTCGTTAATATATGAAAAATTTAAATGTTTAATAGGTTTGAGCATTCCTCTTCAGAGTATTACCGCTGCCACAGCTTGTGTTAGAGGGAAAAAATAGTAGGGTGGCCACAGGGGTGGGCAATGATTGGCTAAAGGTGGCCATGGCCCCCCCTGGCCCCCCATCTAGCTCCACCCCTGCATATCAACGCTTCATGCAGGCTGCCCTTTTCAAAAGCGCTCACCTATTTAACTTGTTATTATTGGATCCATCGCTTCATGAGTCATGTGACCCAGAGCGCCGCTTTTCAGCAGTCTGAACTTCCCTTAAACACCACAGCTAAATCTGCTAAAAGTTGTTGGTAGGCAACAAAACAGATATGATGTTTACCTGATCAGGCATAGTTTTGGTTTTGTGATATATAGAGGTATGAATGTGGGTTGGTCTTTACAAGTAACTACATGACTTCTCAATCTGCTGGTCCACATTGTCATTTTATCAAGTTAAAAACATGGAGCGAGAATATTTCATTTTGTGACAGTGCAATGTCACAAAAGAGTTAAAACTTGAAGTTAGGGTCAAGCACCTCTGGTGGCTAAAAGTTACACATTATTCTTTTAAAGTCAATGTATTAGAGTGGCCTAATCAAAGTCTTGATTAATATCATTATGTTTTAAGACAATTTTTATATAATCTATCTTTAGTGTAAAGTGTTAAGAAAGAAGAAGCAAGAAAAAAATGACAGCAGATAGTTTTCTTTGTTATTGGCCAATACACGTAGCTAAATAAAATTGCAGAACTATTATATTCAGCCCAAAATGAGCACAGTACTAAATAATGATACGTTCAAAAGGTGAGATAAGATGTTTAGGTCTATAGCTGTAACAACCAAGCCCTCCATCACATGTAAAACCTGTTGAATATTACATTTTGGAGCAAAACACGTATAGAGCAGCAAGAGAAGCAAATCCTACTTATAGCCCACTTTCTTAAAAGCAAACTTTGAGCTTGGCCTTGCTAACTTTATCCATTTTGCTGGCATGCACCATCATTCGAGAGTTAAAATGTGTGTGTAATCTGCTGCAGTGACTCACTGTCCCTGTGGGGGAATTAGCTCTGTTCCTGTCCATGCTACTACTGAGAAACTTCAATTCTCACCTGTCTCTTTACCCATCTTCTCTGCAGTCATTTGCTTTAACTCCATCTATTTTCCCTCTCTTCAACCTCTTTCCCTGTTTCGATGTAGAACTTTACCATGTCTCTTTCCATCTCTTACCCCTTTCCCATTTCACAGCTCTCCATACACCTTCACCCAACTAATTTAATCTTCCATTAAATACTTCCCCGACTCCACTACCACCTCTTCTTTTCCCTCTTAGTCACTCACCACCTACCAAGCTCTCCTCATCTCTGCAAGAGAATACCAGTGTTAGTATATAGGGCAGCTGATTGTCCCACTAGAGACACTGTGAGCTGCACTGCTGCAGACCTTCACTGCAATGTAACATGAGGATAAATATGGAAGAAACTGCAGCAGTGCACAGCATGCACCTGCGTGTTGCTGTTACTGATCTTATGTCATACACTACTTAGTGAAAATACTTAAAATAAATACTAGAAAACACGACATGTCTTTGTAGCAGTTAAAAAACACTGTGACTTAATTTCTTGATGTTTTAAAATATAATGCCTACTGTATAAAACCTCTAGATTTGTTTGATGATCGTTTTCACCCACAGTTGCAAAGATTCGTTTTGGTTTTGTAGTAGAATCAACCTAATAACTCTATCATTTCAGAAAAATTATGCAACAGTTCTTCAGTTTTAGTTAGTAATTGCAACCATAAAAACAAAATTTGTATGGTTGCAATTTTTATGGTAAATTGGCAGCGGGCTTACATAGGTCCTTTTGTATTTCTTACTGTATATTTCTTATAGTTATAAGCATGAATTGATTATATGAACTGTATTATCTGATAATAATCACTTGCTTCAAAATCTTTAAGGTGGTGGCAATGATGCAACAAATCATGCACTGACAATAACCATGGCGACACATGCAACATTTAGGAGAAATCAAGAATCAAAAGAGAATATAAAGGAGAGATGTAGTTTATCTATTTATTTTTTATGCGAGAGAGAAAGAGGAAGAAGATACGCAGCAAACATTCCATGGTCAGGAATCCAACATCAGGCAACTGCATCAAGGAATAAGAAAGGAATATCTAACGTCCCCTCAACCACTCTACTGTGATGGCTCAGATAGAGGATTTAAAATTAAATGGATAGACTAAATCTATACCAGATGTCTGATGGCATATTATTTTATAATGGTGTACGGTGCCAAGTAGTAGTAGGTGGTACTTCTCTTTATGAAGAACTACTCATTTTTGTCAATGAGGCACACTACAATGTGCACCTAGTTGGGTAAGAAACATGTGAGTGTCCTTCACAGTGGAAAACAAGAGTGTCATTACAAGCAGGGTAGACATTTTATTTTTTGTTTTACTTAACTATTTCAGCTAAATAGGTCACAACAACTCAAAGGGTAGCTGCACTGCAGTAGATAAAATTTTTGGAACAGCACAGAAGGCTAAAACTATTTAAATTGACCATTTTGTGTTTGTTTCACTACATTATTTTCAAGCAGTTTAGGTTCTGAAAATATACTCTGAGCAGGTGTTCAATGTAGGTTTTGAGTATTTTTTTGTCAAAGCTTTGATGATGTCCAAATAATAAAATCATCTATCCTACATAAAATGAGGATATTGTTTACAGTAGTTCTCTCAAGTGGCACAGATAGGAGATGTGGAGTCAACAAATCATCTCTATGGCTGCATCCAAATGTCCACCCTAATCACTATATAGGGCATTATATAATGGTTACGCCATTTTAGATGAGTGTCTGAAAATCTAGTGGATGAAAAAGTAGTGGACTCTAAATTTCCCACAATGCAACTTGAAAAGTAGTGATCATCCATGGTCACTAGATGAGCATATATATCCCATAATGCTTTGCGAGGAGAGCCTTCCTCACAAAGCATTATGGGATTTGCTGTCACAGCAGCCCGCTGTCGACTACAGCTTTCGCTACCCGACAGTGGAGACAGATAATAAATATGCCGCAGGCACTGTGCGGGGGGTCACGTGACCAATGGCAAGTAAAAAGTAGTGATCATTTGTCCGAATGGTCAGTTAACTGAGTTCATTATAAAGTCTACTATATATTCTCAGCTCTATAGATTGATTTAGGGATTAGGGTGGATGTTCGGACACAAACTAGGTCATGTCATTTTTTCTGCCTAGCCACTGAACCAGGTGACTCTTATCTGGTTTAAACTGTGCAGATTGGACTCACCTGGTTCACAGGCGGGGCAGAACAAATACATGACATAATTAATTGTTGACTACAGCTCCCTATCTCTGCAAAGTGGTGATTAGGTTTAGTGAAATATTAAATCTTTTACATAATCTTTGTCTCTGTTTTCAATTTACAGCAAGAAGCTTAATTTTATGCTATTTGTTCAGCATTATTTTCTAGTCATCGCTCCAGTTTATACATCTTACGGAGTGGCTGAAAAGATGTTAGCTGATGCATGATTGGATCAAACCTTTAGAGGCTCTCTATCACTCTGTCTAAATGTCAAAATTACCAGTAATAAAATGTGTGTTTCCTTTTCAATCCTGGCTGTTCTGTGTGGTGTTGTGATGCATCTCAATAATCCAGGCAGTATAATTAGACAGGTCCTGAAGATGTGCTCAACTTTTTTTTTTTGAGTTTTATACCTGGTGTTTATTTTCATATGGAATCAAACATCACCTTTCTACCGCTGGGCTTAACTCATGCATTTATTATCCACTTGACCAATGGGCCTCTGTTACAAAGATTTTCTCAACTTCACCAATCTTAAAGCATTCACCAAGTCCCACAGAGACAAGTCCTGAGTAAGAAATAGCTGAAACTTTTCTCTCCTACTTTAATGTAAAAAAAAAATGCTGCATTAAATCCACTAATTTGCCTTGGAGGTGAAATTTACATTAAAAAAAGTCATTTGCAGTCATTTTCAAACAATGATCCCATTATAGAATGAGTTTGCATATTTCATAAACCTGTCTAAAATTATCCTGTGTGTTTTAATATTATGTTTCGACTAATTTAAATAAAAAAAAAAGTTTTTTTAACCTACCAATTACCAGGCATGCGGCAGGCCAGCTATAAGGGTCTTTCAAAAACAGGGAAATCACTTGAATAGGGTCCACGAGAATACCATACCTGGAAAAATATGCAAACAAGTCATCAATGCTGTGAAACATATATACAATATTTAAAATACTTAGAAATTGCAGTTTCAAACATACAAATACTTCACATCTGTCCTGTAATGACAGGATTAAAGTAATAGGGAATCGACTGTTCCAATGGTTGCGTTTCCGAATTCTCCTGAGTGGTGCCTGACTTTACACGAGTGAATAAAGTGAATGTGATTGGTTGATCATCAAGAGGGCGGGATTGTTGTGGCGGATGGTTCGCAAGCACGTTTGGTTGTGGCTGGTGTCTCGGAAGTATCTGGCTAACCAGTTAGCAACTTAGTGCTAGAAGGTTCCCAATTGGAAATTACATTGGGACCAAGTAGCACTTAGCAATGACACTGGATGAGTCTCCTCCGTCATGCAATTTTTATTTAGTGAAGGAAAGCGGGGAGGAAGTTGTTATGGAAGAGGACGCCAGGGCAGCAGAAGCTTGGTTTGGTGTAGAAAGCTTACAGCCGTACATGTTTGAGCCCTTGCCTTACAAGGCTGCCAGTTCTGTTAGCTCTACGCCTGCCGAAGAAACAGACGTCTATCCCCGTGAACTCAATGGTAAAGTAAATGATTCTTATTTCTTATTTCAACTGTTGCGTATATTAGCTGCGAGATATGAATCAAGATGCTATAACCGAATAAATTTGATTGACAGATGACCATTGATATATGATTGGCCCAAATTAGGTGTATAAGCTGACGTATAACTAACTAGTCTGCATAAGATAACTTAAAAAAAAAAAAAAGATTTTAAGACAGTATTTTTTTTTTCAAATAGAAATGTCTTACTTTTGGGAACAATAACCTCTGATAAAGAGTCAATTTATATACATGTTTAAGCAAGAATGATGTGACATTTAAATATGATTTCCCTACGACTTTAAAGACTTAGCTTATCATTTCAAAGTGAAAATCGCTGCTAAAATCAGAGCTGAATTAGGAGTGTTCAACAGCTTTCTCATGGAACGGATATAAACAGTTTTGCAACAGCAAAACTAACCCTTTGTTGATAAAATTATTAAATATATCTGTTATTTCAGGATGGGAAAAAAACAAGAACAAAAGACAACATCTTACAATAAATAAAATCAACTAAGTGAGAAATAATTGTTTAGATTTAATTTGTGAGAATATAGTCTCATTTGAATCTAAACCCTTTAGGAAAGAAAGAACAGGGAAAAGTTGTTTAAATAACAGGTAATAATATTAAAAGGTACTCACTTTAATATGTTTTCTAAGAAAAGGCGAGCATTACTCAGGACCTAGAACAGAACAGAGAACATCACTGTAGCAGTATCTTATAGTTTTTCAACTTCTGCAGCCATGAAAAGACATATAATAATTTTGATTTAATGCCATTTTTTAGGGCTGTCCAAATGTCTAGTGGGTGAAAATCTAGTGCACTAAAATTTTCCACAATGCACCTTCTAATTATGGGATTTTTTTTTTTTTAGGTATAAATTATAATATTATCAATTTCACCATTAAAGCATATGTCTCAATGCCTAAAAAAAGCTAATCAAAACAGTTAGCAATTATAGTTTTTATACGTTTATAAAAGAAACAAACCCTGAATTATTTGTATTCCTAACAGCCAACAAGCATTGAGGAAGAAAAGATTTAATGCTGTTAGTTACAATGTTCCTACAGTTGTGAAAACACAAGTAATTCTTACCAACATTACCACACACCAGTTGAGCACTCCTCTGTAGTTTCTGTAACCGCTGGCTGAGCTAAGGAGAGATTCCTGTGCCTGGTGGCAGCTACAAAAAACAAGAATACAGTTTATAGCAAATAAGATAATGAGCTGGAGAGCAATTTATTTCCATCAGATTCTAGCCTCAAATTAAATGTCTTTCAAAGGTTGTTTGTAAAGGAGGAAATGAGACATTGGCATCTCATTAGCCTTCACATGCATTGGAATGTGCAGGTTTATTTACTGTAGCAAAGAGCCAAACAGGAAAATGTATTAATTAAGAACCACAGGCAACACCTATTCATTTAAAAATGCTGCGCTACATTAGTTCTCTGTTATATATCTCATTAGAAATTTGGTAAAATTACTTAATAATAAAACTAACTTACATGAAAATCTGTCTAGTTGAGTCTTTTTAAAAGTAAAGATAAAGCAGCACCTCTTACTTTAGAACCTTAATAATTTAAGTGTAAACCTTTTCTTCTTATAGAAATAATGAAAAATAAGAGAAAAGAACCAAAAAAATTTAAAACAATGTACTATATGTCCTTTTTGGAAACCAGGACCACCAAATGTTACGTAAGAAAGATTGTTGGGATTGTTTTTAAAAAAAATTTTTGGAATATGTAAAAGTTTGAATTTAAAACCTAAAACCAGAAGAACAACATCATATTTCTGAATCTTGTACAACAGTATCCAATATTATACTACCTTAAAGCACAGAGTTTGGCCACTGCAGTCATATTCATTACTACAATGTGCTTTCCTTTGAGGCTCCCTAGTCAGATTAACAGTAAATAACAATCTTTTGGCAGGTATTAAACATTCTTTTCTGTATTAATTTATGTAGGGTTTGATGCAATATATTAATCTTAAATGTATTTTTTTATCATTGATTGAAATTGGAAAAATCCTCATAATAGAGAGAATTGCTTTAAAAACACCCTGTGATTAATTAATCTGTGTGTTTAATTTTGTGATTGAGTAACTGAAATAAACTAACTTTTAAATTATATTATAGTTTATTGAATAGGTTTGTAATGGAAAATCGGAGGTGAGAAGTACAGTTTCCAATTGGCCACAATTTGTGTATGAAACATGTGGTCAGATGGGACCAATGAAAACCACACATTACACAGAAAACTGCTCAACACAATGAGACATGATGACTGCAGCATCATTTTGTGAGGATTTATTTCGTCAGCATTTACAGGGAAAATAATCAGAGTTGATGGGAGGATGCGTGAAGCTAAGCACAGGATAAGACTGGAAGAAAAAATGTTAGAGGCTGAAAAGGGTTGGTTTAGATCAAATCATAATTAGGGGGGCCACATGCCGAAGGCATGGCCCACCTACTACTATTGCACATATTTATTCCGCGTATTATTAGGGGGGCCACATGCCGAAGGCATGGCCCACCTACTACTATTGCACATATTTATTCCGCGTATTATTAGGGGGGCCACATGCCGAAGGCATGGCCCACCTACTACTATCTCACATATTTATTCCGCGTATTATTAGGGGGGCCACATGCCGAAGGCATGGCCCACCTACTACTATCTCACATATTTATTCCGCATATTATTTTTATTAGGGGGGCCACATGCCGAAGGCATGGCCCACCTACTACTATTGCACATATTTATTCCGCGTATTATTAGGGGGGCCACATGCCGAAGGCATGGCCCACCTATTACTATTGCACATATTTATTCCGCGTATTATTAGGGGGGCCACATGCCGAAGGCATGGCCCACCTATTACTATTGCACATATTTATTCCGCGTATTATTATTAGGGGGGCCACATGCCGAAGGCATGGCCCACCTATTACTATTGCACATATTTATTCCGCGTATTATTATTATAGCTTATAGTTCTCCTCGTCCCCTAAAAACTTCGGCGTGTAACTAGTCACGCACCATTCGTCGGATCGGGCCCAAAGTTGGCACACGCGTAGGGACCAATGGTGCGATGCGTGCTTGTATAAAACTTTCTCATTAGTCCGAAGGTTTGCGAATTATTAGCGAAAACGTCGCAAAAAAAATCCCATAGGAAATGAATGGGGAGAGGGAAAAAAAGCATAAAAAACAGCACCTCACTGTGTCGGCATACATTCATGTAGAAAAACAGTTTAAAGCTCAGTTTGTAGATAAATCCTTCGTCTATTTAAAACTGAAGACGGTATGTTGATAACTGCTACGGTTTTTGTATAATCAGACCTCAAGCGCCACAAAGTTTTAGCAAAATCCACCCTTCTAGAGTGGAGAGACTGAAAAGCTAGAGTGTGAGGCAGCCGTTTTTTTAAGACCAAAAAACATTTTAAAATCGCCCTCACGGCCATATATTTATAGCTAGAGTCACCATTTTTGGTCAGTTTGTAGGCTGAAACCTCTGGACTCACACAATGTCTTCAGAATTACGGTAGGATTAATACTTTTCCTTAAAAACGCTCCAGACCGACCTAAAGTCGATGAAAATCAGAGCCGTTTTTCATTGGTTTTGGAGCAGCAGTGGGGAGAAAAACGAATGACATTATATGTTTTCAGCTCGTCATAAATATTTTTCTGAAAGACACACATACACCAAAGTTGGCATAGTTGGAGTCGAAGGATGGCTGACGCTCACGGTGAAAGAATTTTTT